TTCCGGGGTTTCTCTATTAGGGTTAATTTGGATCTCTTCCATTCTTTATAGTTAGAGGTGGGCGACTAATAAACGAATATTAAAACAGCATTTTCTTATTTTTCGGTTGTAGATAAAACGTTGTACATGACACGTGCGTTTAAACATGATTACAACACTCGTGTGATTAGAACGACGAGGTCTACGACCTCGTCGTTCTAATCGTTCACACTCGATATTTTAATCATATTCATAAACACACCTGTACTCTAAACAACTATTGTAAAACACCACAAAAATAATTTTACACTAAAATCTTATTGAAATGGCAAGCACAAGCAAAAATCGAAACTACTTCATGATGTGATAAGACAAACCAATAATTCAAATTTATTCTAAAGTTTCACTCCGAACATCGAAATTAGTGGAATAAATTAGTGGTTTACATTAGCATAAAAGTTTTTCCTCTAATTTTAATAGATTAAGCATTCAAAACGTCAAAATTAGTGATAGTAATTTTTAATTAGTAGAAAGAGTCAACAACCTTTTTACTTTTGCCACTAATTACACTTAAAAATTTTATGTAATGTCATTTTGGCCTTTGACTATCATCCGTCCGGAAAAATTGGGGATAGAAATCAAAAATTTATAACCTAATTATTAGAGTTTCGCTATGGATATAACTGACTACCGCAAGCTTTTGTTCGGATATTCGATTAATTTGCATTAATGTTCTTTATGTTTTTTGTATTTCCATTAATGGTTCTTTATGAGGCTTAACAGTTTAGTAAAAAAATTATTTTAAAAAAGTGTTTATAGTGTGCTCTAGTGCAATACTTGTTACACTCTCATAGTTTTTATTTTAGATTGATATTGTTTATGGTTTGTTATTAATTTAACATTTTTTAGAACCTTTAATGTTGGTAAGTGGTTTGGTGCTATCAGTGATATTTCGAAAACTGAACCAGGAATCAAGAATCAGAACACCACAAGAAATTGAAGAAGATGAAATAAAACAAATACACAACAAGGAATTAGTACACGTTTTCTCTCAAATTTGTAAGTAAAATATAAAAATAGGAATATAAAATAGATTCTCAATTTTAAAAATGTGGAAAACTTTAGCTTAGATACTAATAACTAATATCGTAGAGACATCTGCTCGTTAAGAATTCAGATATTTTCTGACATTTACTCTCAAAAAGGAAACTTTAACAAATTATGAATAAATTTAATATTGTAGTATAACAACTCAAGCTCGTTCAACAAAGTTAAAGAGGTAATATTTTGGCCAACTGTATAACAATTTAAATGAAATAAAGAAACCTACGTTGCGTTATGTTAAAAATATTTTTATTGTGATTACCTCAGATGCGCTCGACAGAAGCAATATTAGGGAAATTTGAGGAGAATAGGTTATGAGAACCAAACGCTAACTTTGTAAATAACCCTACTTATTTTATTAAATGAAATGAATGGAGTGCCGTACTCTGTCTGGAAATCACAAGTAAAAGAGCATGTAGGGAAAACCTTGATCACTATTCCAAAGAATCTAACTATGCTGTTTTGAACTTTAATAAAAGAGTAATAATAATAAAATAAATACTGTCCTCATACCAAAGTTTGAAGTTTAACACATTTAAAACATTCATAACTGACGTGATAAGACGTTGGTAATTGGTAGGATTACATTCCCTATTAGGTCAGATACCGCCCATACCAGTGAAATGACGTTTCTACAAGGGAGACACATGAGAAACAAAATATGTTAAAGTGAACCTAAGTGTTCATCTAGTTCTAACATATACATATGAGATACACGCAGGTTTATATTGATAGAATTGTGTGATACAGTGTTTACTAGTTGTATACCGTATGCACTCAAGATTCTAAAGAGTTTTTTGTAACGTAACAAATAATAATTAAAATGATGAAATCTGACGTCGGTATATGGAGACATACAATGTATAACTCATATGTATGTGTGATACTTCGTATCATAGTTGTGCCTATAGTACACACCTTGTAAAAATGTGACGTATACACATGGTATAAATATCTATATAGACACTTTGTAATAGTGTGCTGTTGTGTCTACATTCTAGCATGAAATGAAGGTGTGTGCACGCGAGGATAGCCTCAGCGTAGACACACCGATCATGTGTATCTTATGTGTCTTCTCTCCTTTCTCCTTTCTACGAGTGGTATGTGTTAGCATTATTGTTTTATCATTCGGAAGCTCTATATAAATATTCTGTTTGTGTGTAGTTTAAAAGGGATTTTAAGGTAAACACAAGTTTTTAATTACCTTGTTACACCTTCCTAAGAGTATTATTAATATTATAGCAGCGACTATTCCCTTACTCGATACCCAATTTACCAAATTTTGACTCCAATGAATCAAAACTCCAAATATTCTCGTATAATGATAAAGAGGTTAGCTCTGCAATATAATTTTTTTTAATTTGGAAATAATAAAAATCTAAATGGACCAGAGAAAGAAAGATTTAAACACTTCAAAGAACTTACACTGATATTCGGTAAGTTATTGATGGATCAATATACACAGATATGTTTAATATTCAATAATCAGTTTCATATAAAATTTAAGGGTGAGATTGTTAATCTGGAAATAAAATACAACAAAGTCCAACAGAGTGCTCGATGAATGAGTATGCTAACAAACCAACTGCTTGGAGGGAAAAGAGGTGGAAAAAATGACTAAACGAGGTCCACCAAATCGTGGCGATATACCAGTGTTTACTATTTTAGTATGTTGTTATACTAGGTAGTTATATTTTTAATACATTTTGATACAAATTCTGTTCTTTTACAGCGTTTCTGGTTTCTGCAGTGTAAATTATTATTATTATTGTGTTATTTGTGCTATTGCGTTCCATGATATAAAGAAATATAAGAATTTTATTTTTTAACCACTTAGTCCATTTTATGGAAGAAAAATGGTACATTTAATACAAAACAAAAATGGAACAATTTTAAGGCTACTTCTCTTAAACTTACGATCAAGATACTTTTGGAAAATACAAAGTTTTGCCTTCCTAATTTTCATTCTAAAAAGATATAATTGGTATCATTGGATAAATATTTCTTAAAAAGAACGAAAAGTTATTCATCAAAACTTGTATTATATCCTAAATTCGTTCATAAGAAGTAGTTTTATCTAGCACAAGATATACGAAGCAAAATACATACGTATACACGCGGTAGTCACAACTGCAATGTGTAAACAGAGTTTTAACGTAATACACAAGCACTGTGAATCCTACGGCACACTGTGTATCCCTTACTTTGTGTATACGTAAATGCTATACGTGGCTACATTGTGAGGCGGACGTTTAACCTTTGTGCATACGTGTTGAACTACAATGTGTAAACGTAGCATATTTACATCGGGGGAATTGTGTCACCCTGTGTCTACATCTAATAATGTCGTCGTAAAAAATGTTATTTGATGTGCGGTATGGGCGACGTCGAGGCGACCCGAATCTGTATTCCCCAGGTGCAAATAAGGGTTGTCAGGCGGTCAAACCGACGTTGATACCCGACGTCGGGTTTATTGAACGTGACGTATACCCGAGGTTAGATAACGTCCAAATGCTACTTGGGTTGTCTTTATATTTAATTTTAAATTTGAAATCATTTACAGCATAAATCGAATAAATTAAATATGTGTATGTAATATATACCGGGTGCGTCTCAAAAGTGGCTCACCATTATAACATTTTTATTTTTTCAGATAAAAAAAAACGAGATTTGGTATGTTCATGGTATGTTAGTATATGACATAAATTAGGATTGGTTGACGTATTCAATTGTTTTCGGTCACTTCCTGTTTACCGCAAATTACTACAACTTTTGATTTTTAAATGGCACCCTCGGTATTTTTTTTTACTCTGTTCGATAGAAAATAACCCTCTGAATAGAATGACATATCATATGTCAACTTTTGACATTTTCGCATACGGTTTATTTAAAATTATAACTTGCGGTTCGTAAGTTTAACTTGCGGTTCGTGAGTTTTTTACGGCTATTACGTTATCTTGGACACTTCGCACTAAAAGAGGTTCTAAAAAGAACAATGTTTGACTGCAAGGTCTTCTAGAAAAAAAAATTAGCTTAAAATATAACAATATAATTCATTTAAACCAAAAACTCCTAATACAAAACTAAAATTTCAAAACGAATGACAGTGTCAGGAAATAAATAAATAAATGTGACAACTTCACATTTTTTACAGCAGAGCTGCCACTTGAAGCCCGACCGGAAACCAAAAGTTTAAATTCCAGTTAGTCAGTCCGGCGCCGAATATATCCATGGTTGGCAACAATGAATTTAAAAATCGCGCTCTAGATTACGTAACTAAAGGTTTAATTGGTATCACATTGAGTATTCTATTTAAAAATATACAACTTTGGTTTGAAAATATGTTCCTCAAACCAAATCACTCTGTATGTCGACAAAAATATTTCCAAATCGTGCGTTACCATTTTACCCATATTATGCAAAAAAATTGAAATGAAATTCACAAACCACACACTTAATATAAAGCTTTTTCGGAAACCTGAATCGCCCTGTATAATAATGGATTGCTAATCCGTTTATAAGTTTTACAATTTAGGTTAGTTTCCACTTGAAAATGGACAAGTGACATATCTGATTGAAATATTGTGTAAATTAAATAACACATTCAGACAATAGAAGCTTGAATTTCTTTTGGTATCGATTCTATACTTAATACATGTTTTGGTATCGATTCTATACTTAATACGTATCGATTATACTTAATACATGTTTCCTTTTTCAGGTATGTTCATTTGGATGCTACTCCTTTGTTTCTGTGCAGTTATACGAATAAGCCTATTCGGAGGACTGTACTACTTTCTGTTTCTTTCTTTTCTAACGTACTGGGCAATGAATAAACGTTTTGGTAGAGCGTGCGCTAAAATAGTTGGATGTATTTCATCGATTATTTTTGTACATATACACTGCTATATGCTTACCAATTTCAGCCTGTTCAGGATGAAGCCAATGTTCCTCATAGACTAATCAGGTAGTAAAATACATTCATTTACTATAATATACCACAGACAATTTATTTTACACTCTGGAGCTTTGAATAAAAAGATTAAGATAGGAGTATAATGATATCCGTGTATTCATGCAAGGTAGACGGACAAAGGGCTCTAGGGTGGGGATACATGACAGTTCTGTTTGACGATTCATTTAACACATTTGAAAAAAGCAAAATAAAAACACTAAATCACCACAATACACCAAAACACTTTTACTTTTACACTGGACGCGCGTTTCGCTAACCATGTTAGCATCATCAGCAGATGATTATAAACTAGTTAGAGTTTAGCAAAATAAAAACACTAAATCACCACAATACACCAAAACACTTTTACTTTTACACTGGACGCGCGTTTCGCTAACCATGTTAGCATCATCAGCAGATGATTATAAACTAGTTAGAGTTGATTATAAACTAGTTAGAGTTTATAATCATCTGCTGATGATGCTAACATGGTTAGCGAAACGCGCGTCCAGTGTAAAAGTAAAAGTGTTTTGGTGTATTGTGGTGATTTAGTGTTTTTATTTTGCTGTGTAACACCAAAGGTTCCAACCCTCAACTGTAATAACACATTTAAATTTGATTTGAAATTTTGTGGATTCGTCAGTCTTTACTGAGCTTATTTTATGTTATTTATTATTTATTCTACTACTGATAGTTGTTTAATAGTAGTAAATTTAGAAGGAGATTCTGGCGGAACTTAAATTGACAGTAAAAATATTACGATTTATTGAAAAAAACTCTAAAATAGTTGGTTGTGTAGAGTGCGGTAGATCTCGGTCAAAAATCGAGGTAATTAATGGACTAACTTATCGCTAGTAAGTGACTATACATATAATATACATACGTGTAATAAACGGACTAACGTGCGATAAACGTGTAATAGCGGACTCTGACGACTCATTTATGAAATTCACTTAAACAATCACTTAACTAATTATTTGTTTTTTCTTACATTTTTGCTTTTATTTACTACTTGTCAAAAATTAGATGTGAAAGAATTTAATTAGCTCAATTTGAATTAGCTGCTTCAATTATTCAATTATTATAATTTATCTATTTTTATTATTGTATATTTTTATAACAATTTTAATAACCAACAACATTTTTATTGACAACGTAAAATAAAACAATACATTATTGAGTCTACCCCATGTCTAATCTTTCTTTCTCGACTTGGTTCCATCCAGTGTTGGATATAAGCCTCTCCTAGGTTTTTTCATTCTTCGCGATCTCTAGCCAATCTTATTCATTGTCTTCCTGCCACTGTTCTGGCATCATCGACCCATCTCTTTTTTGGTTGGCCGACAATTCTTGTTGTTCCCCTAGGTTTCCATAGAATGACTTTTTTGGGCCATCGGTCTGAATCCTGCCTTGCCACATGGCCGATCCATTGCCATTTCAGACTTGCCACTCTTTAAACAATATCTATTAGTTTTGTTTTTTGATGTGTATGGGTGTTATTTTTTCCCTCATGGTGACTAATATGATTCTTTCCATGGCTCTTTGTGCAACTCGCAGTTGTTCTGCTGCTTCTTGGGTAATTGTCATAGTCTCTAAGCTATACGTACAGGTAGTATGCAGCTGTTGTAAGCCTTTTTTTAGGTTGATGGGCACCTTTTTATCCTTGAAAATATCGCTCATATTTCCAAATGCCAAATGGATCTTGGTTCCCTTTATCCAGCTTGATTTTATGACCTAAATATATATAATGGTCTACGTTTTCACTAACAACGTTGTCTGCGGTAATGTTATGGCTATTGTCGCTCATTATCTTGATCTTCAAGTTTATTTTAAGGCCAATTTTCTGGGATTGGTCATTTAGCTCCTTTAGCATGGTGTTCATTTCTTGAATGTCGGTGCTCAACAAGATAATATCGTCTGCGAACCTAAGATGGCTAACGAGTACCCCATCGATGTATAGACCTCTATTTTCCTATTCTAATTTTTTGGAGATATTTTCCCAGTGCCAGTGTAAATAACTTGGGAGAGACGGTATCTTTTTGTCTCACGCCCGAGTGGTATTTTTTCTGTTTTGAGATCATCAACTAATTTAACTTGGATGGTTGCACTATCATAGATATTTTTAATAATGGAATGATATCTGGAATCGATTCTCGCGTCCTTCATTGCACCTAGAAATTACCAGGTTTCGATGCTGTCAAAAGCTTTTTGGTAGTCTACAAAGGCCAATGTCTAATCTACATCATATTTTTACACGTTTTAAATAAAATTAAAACGGCACTGATAAACCGGAATTTAAGTCGACCAGTCTGGGACCCCGTCGCGGTCGATCTAAAATATTTTTGATATGCTTCTTCTTTAATCTTGTTATACAAAGCTCTGGACATTTGCTTCTCTCACATCTAAATAAACATCAACGAATTTATACAGCGTATCCCAGAAATAAGTGCAAGTATTTTGAAGGGACTTAGATCTGGCCAATAGAAACATTTTTTTTTCTTCACCATTTATAAAATAAATTGATAATGACCGAGTTATTTAACTTTATACAGGGTGGCCCATCGAAAACGTTCCGCAAGGCATAACGGCCAGGGTAATTTTTTTTCAAAAAATTCAATAACACGTCAATTTTGTTTGTGAGGGGGAAAATTTTTGTCCCAAAAATGATTGCAAAATATTCAACCCTCTAAGCGGCGGTCCCCCAATTTTTTTCAAATGGAAAGGGGGTCAAGTGGTATCGCAATGAATAGAGCTTTCTATTCTCTGTACTTTCCGGCTTCGTTTTTGAAAATCGGTCGAGTCATAGAGAAAATATAAAGGATTGAAATTTGAAAAGTTTATTCAAACATTTATAAGAGTAAATGATAAGGGTAAATTCCTTCGACCAATTTGCTGTTTTTTCTTATTATTTTTAGATGTTTACGCATTTTTCACAGGTGCAGTAGTTGCTAGATAGCTGTTCTGTGACTTATGCGTTGAAGTTTTTCTCAATATCCTTAAACTTTTTAACAATTATTGCAGAAAAAGAAGTATAGACTTATATAAGCATCACTTGCAGAAAAAGTGGAAATAATCGAACTTTATTTTAAAAATAATGAATGTGGCAATCGGGTTGCACAGATATTCAATGAACGCCATCCTGACAAACACCTTTATGGCAAAATTGTTCGCGAGTTAGTAGCAAAATTTCGCGAAACTGGTTCCGTTATGAATGAAAAGAGGCAGAGGGAAAATCCTGTAGTAAATGAAGCTATGGGGATATTCGTATTGGGCCAAGTTGCCATGGATGATAGTACCCTGAGTACAAAAAAATTAACCAATGAGACCGGCGTGAATCGTAAAAATGTCCAAAGGATATTAAAAAAACACAAGTTCTACCCGTACAAAATTCAGTTGGTACAAGAACTCAACGAAGACAATTTTAATCGTCGCTTGCAATTTTGTGAAACTATGAGTGAACGAGTGGCGAATGTTAATAATTTCCTATTTGTGTTTTTTCCTATATGTGTGTTTTTCGGATGAGTGTACTTTCTTTTTGAACGATGTAGTTAATCGGCACAACTGTCGGTACTGGGCTGAGGATAACCCCAGGGTTTTTCATGAGGTGCATACGCAAAATTCTCAGAAATTGAACGTGTGGGCTGGTATTTTTGGAAATTCTATTGTAGGTCAGTTTAACGATATTGAAAACTTCAACGTACAAGTCACAGAACAGCTATATAGCAACTACCGCACCTGATCGTTTAACCTTGTGGCAAGTGAAAAAACGCGTAAACATCTAGAAATAATAAGAAAAAAACTCAAATTGGTCGAAGGAATTTATCCTTATCATTTACTCTGTTAAATTTTTAAATAAACTTTTCAAATTTCAATTCTTCATATTTTCTCAATGACTCGACCGATTTTCAAAAACGAGGCGGGGAAATATAGAGAATAGAAAGCTCTTTTCATTGCGGCGCCACTTGACCCCCTTCCCATTTGAAAAAAGTTGGGGGATGACACCCCCGCTCAGAGCGTTGAATATTTTGCAATCATTTTTGGGGCAAAAGTTGTCCCCCTCACAAACAAAATTGACGTGTTTTTGGATTTTTTGAAAGAAAGAATACCCTGGCCGTTATGCATTGCGGAACGTTTTCGATGGACCACCCTGTATCTGTTATATCACATTACCTAAAACCGCAAATCTACACTTAACATTTCATTTTACTGCTATTCTTGATGACTTAAATACCCACGTGTATTTTGGCACAAAATACATTCGTATGCCATCTGAATTATGTAAGATTATTTTTTGAGAATTTAAACTCTGTTTTTCTATCTCAGACTCTTGTTTTTTTGAATAAACGCCAAAATAATTGATACTTCTATTTGAATAGTAAAGTATTTTGACAGGTTTACCTCACATTTAATATTTTTTAGGTTTATTGTTTTGAGTAAAATCGCAAATCAATTCTTCTTCTTCTTCTTTCTGTGCCTTGTGCTTAGCCGCACGTTGGCCATTGGCTGTAGTACTCTTCATATAATGTGTAGAGTGCCGTTTTCGGCTCTTCGAAATATGGTGGCTGCGTCGCTGATGTTACACCCTTCCCGTATGTTTCTTAGCCAGTAGTGTTGTTTTCTTCCTGGGCCTCGCCGTCCCTCTATTTTTCCTTGTAGAATTAGTTTAGGAATGTAATATTTGTCTCCTTTAAGGATATGGCCGAGCTAGAAAATATTTCTTTCTTTAACTATATTAAGTATTTCTCGTTCATAACCTGCCGTTCTTAAAACTTCTTTGTTGGTGGCATGTGCGGTCAAATCGTTGAATATTAGGCTTGACTACTTGACTATTGACAATGTAGGTCACACGTTGACTATTTACATAATTAAGCACTATTTTGGCACTATAAACAAATTTCCGGAAACTGAACAAGCGGCACTCAAAAGTTTTTCAATATTTTCCAGAAAATGTCAAGAAAAGTTTTCGCAAAAAAACTCATGGGCTGGTCTGTGGTGTTTCTGAAGTCGAACTATACCACCAGTTAAAATGTTTGCACTTATTTCTGGAACACCTTGTTTATTAACCTATTTATGTACTAACTTCTTTATACAGTGCGTCCCAATATTCCGTGGAAATAGAACTGCCACCTATTTATTTTTGAATCAAAATAAGTCCATAGGACACAATTTACCTCTATACAAAAGTGCTTCGTTTGTCCGCTAGAGGGCATCAAACGTTAAAAAAATAAGCACATTTTTTCAGTAAAAAAAACTTTTTAATAGTTATTTTTCATACAAGACGATAATGCAATTTTATCGTCGTGTATAAAACAATATTTTTTCCATAGCGAGTTACGTTTTAAAAAATATTCAGAAATTACTATTTCAAGGAATTTATTACGAGTAGAGAAAATATTGTGCTGGGTTGGCATTGGTTTCTATGTAATTTGATAAATAAATAAAGCTGTCTCTTTAGTTGTCAGTTTTGAGTCAATGTTTTTTAATTCTCTTTCGTGTCGATTGCTGATTGAATTGGAGCCAGAAATGGCTCAAAATGAAATAAGCAAATTACCAACAGATATTCAGGCTGAGGCGACAAACGCCATATCCAAACTACTTCCATTTAAATCTTATGAAAAGGAATACAAAAATTTTCAAAAATGGAAGCAATTAAAAAACGCGCGATAAGAAATAAAGTTTTTAACCTATCCTCATCCTATCCTCGCTGTTAAAGTATCATTTATCTACCCTTGCGGTTAAAGTACTATTTTATCTACTATTTTTGATAGATATAAGGCAATTTTAACAGTTGCTATGGAAAAAATATATTTTTTTTTAAAGTTTCAGGTCCTCTAGTGGACACACAAAGCACTTTTGTATACAGGTAAATTGTGTCCAATGAACTTATTATGATTCCAAAAATATGTAATAGTTCAATGTCAACGGAATATTGGGACACCCTGTATATTATTATCTTTCAAGTTTGAAATGAATTTCTGTGAATTTCAGGATATTGCAGGTGCATCCATTTAGAAAAACAGCCAGTTGTAATGATCCCAGAATATTTTTATGGATACCTCACCGAGGCATCACAAATTTGCTACCAGCTGCCCTTTATGCGCTCTATTCGCTCTCAGTTCTTCTAGCGCGTCATATATTGAAAGCCCATGTAAGTTGACATCGTAACTTAGTAGATCATAAGGTTATCAAAGGGCTTATGGCTCAATTACAATTTTTCGAATTTTGAGCTAAAAATGTATTTCTCATTATTTAAATTTTTGTCCCCACAGTGTAACAGATTAAAATGTTGTAGGTACTTTACTTTCAGTCCAGTTCAAATATAAAACTTAGTTTTCTTCCAAGTTCAAATAACTTAGGTATCTTAAAAAGAGCAAATAATATTGTCAAGAAAAATGGCGCATCCGCCAGAAATTAAAAATGTATTACTGGTTGCCTGCACAACCGCAACGTATCCGCCAGAAATTAAAAGACTTTTTCAGGCGCCATCTTTTAGTCAAGTCGAGAAGTAATGGAATCAGACAATAGAATTGTCTGGTATGAAGAAGTACGCTTTCCATTCAAAATTTCAGTGACAAGTGATTACTTCAAAATATTGTGAAGAAAAAACTATATCAAACTGAAAAAATCTAATCGAGTTATTTAATTTAAAAAATACTGCATTTGTACAAGCAAAATATAGGTGAAACAAACAAGGATGTATTTTAAACAAAACACCACAAACCAAAAATATATAAAAAGAACAATTTCTTACTGTCAAGCTTCAAGAAACTTCCTGCATTTATTATTATATTTATCAATATAACTTATGTACAAACAAAAAAAAAACATTAATATTGCACAGTAATAAATAAAACACAACATAAATAAAACAAAATATTTTATTAATAATAACACTTACTGAATTTTATACCTAAGCTGATCAATTAACTTTAATCTTAATTTTTTAAACAAGTACCTTTTGACATGGTTTCTGCAGTAGTAAAATATATTATTTACCTATTGTGTGATGTTATTTTACAGCTACTCAGTTTTTAGTACCATATACAAAATTGTATACAAACTTTACTATGGTAACTTTATTTGTGTATAAAACTCTCTGTCTAGACACCGAATATTAACTATAAACTGTGCTCTGGGTCTACAGTTAAGTTTCCCTCGATTTTTCCTCCACTTAACTTTAAAAACACAAAACACACAACTAATATCACGAACCAAAGTGCGAAAGCAATTAGCAAATCGGTATTTGACATAATTTGACACAAAATTATAACCTATAATTTAGCAAGACTTTGACAAGCCTCAAAAATCTTCGGGTCGGGTTTATACGCATATGCGTACGTATATGGTTCGTTGTTGCGTCAATCCAATAATAATGAAATATGATCTGTAATTTTGAAATAAACCAATAAAACTGGTTAAAAACAACAAGAGACGACTCATGATGGATTTATATATAAACCCATCCATAGTTAACTTAAAAAATATTAAAACCTTTTTTTTGTGAAATAAATAGATTGGTATGGACCCCATCTGCTTATTTTCTGTCATTGTCTGTCGAAATCTTACCTGAGAAAAAAAAAACAGAGTATACACTTAAATACCCACGTGTATTTGGCACAAATTCATAAGAAAGGCAGCAAAGAAGTTTCTGTGACCTTCATAAAGAGTTCATAGACAATCCGCATCAATGTATAGTTTGGGTTATTATTAGTTTGGGTGAAATAATCTGCACCAATATGTTATCGAGGCATACAAAAAGGTCCACAGACTTCGAGACATACGAAAAATCAAGTCAATTAAGCGTGTATCGCAATTTTCAGACCTTAAAAATTAGTTTTTTATAGCTATAGCAACTGCAGCGACTATGAAAAAAACTGTGTGATTTTCATAGAAAATAAGGGCACCTGTAATTCATTTGAGAATGTTATAAATCGTTAAAAGAGGTTTCAAATCTCTTAGATTTCTATTAATATTAAATAAATTTTATTAAAAATTGAACTAAAATTGTTAGTATCATTAAAAAACTTCAAATTCAAAAATTGTATCAGTCAAATTCCCTCATTTAAGATGAATATTAAAGTAAGTATAAATACAGCTCATTCTAAGCTCTACTTATCTTTAAGAAACATTTAAATCATTGTTGCAATTGGGCCTTAATGCCATTTCGAATGAACAATAGTATTAATAATGTACATTATAATAATAATAAATTTGATATCATAGTGTGTATTAAAACTACTAAAATACTTTTAAATTGGTATTATATTAACAACTTTTGTTTTTTAATCCAAAAAAAAGTTACCAATTTTCTCAATCAAAATATTTGTGGTCCTGAAAAGGACCTTCGTTTTCCCATGTTCGTCAAGGTAGGTAGATAAACGGTAAAAAAACAGGATAATGAAATTTAAAAAATTACAAAAATTGTTCAAAAGTGCCTCCCTCTTGCATTAAACAATAACCCAAACGATCATAAAATCCCCTCCTCACATTGGATAACATATCAGGGGTGACAGTGTCAAAGGCATTAAATATTTTCTGCCTTAACTGCTCCAAGTTTTGAATTTCTTCATGGCCGTAAATTTTAGATTTTATGTACCCCCATAAAAAGAAATCATTCACCGAGAAGTCAGGTGAAATTAAACGTCAGTCTAAACAAAACTGTCATTTTTGAAAACTTGTCAAAATTTGGACACACGCTAAATGGACTTGATTTTCCTATGTCTCGAAGTCTGTGGACTTTTCTGTATAATCTCACAGTAATTTAATAGATTGCTCGTCATATTATATCAGCTCGTAGGAGATTAGGAAAAAAAAAGATATTTATAGTATAAAAAATTAATTTATTTAACAAAATTTAATTAAAGATGTGACAAAATAGTTACATTTCTATTGGTTCTATCGGACTTTTTTCGACTATATAAATCTTTATTTTTTGTAAACTTTAATGCATAAAATATTTTCAATCTAATAAATAATTTAATGATGTAAATAGAGGAAATTTCTCACATGGGTGGTCAAATTCTATAGTTTTCATTATATCAAACAGCCTCTGAATATTTTCTTCAGTGCAAAACTCATCAAAATTTAATATAAATAATTTTTCCAGCCTGTAAATACAATGAACAAATTTTTCCACTTTCATGATCAAAGGCTTTTAAATGGGTTAGTAATTTCCAGTTATCCAGAGATTCGGATTCTTTTGCAAATTTTAGACAAATATCACATTGATGTATTTGAAGACCCTTTTTAATGATGTAGTCAAACATAATTAAAGGCATTTTGAGTTGAAAACATTTCTCAGAGGCTGTTTGATATAATGAAAACTATAAAATTTGACCACCCATGTGAGAAATTTCCTCTTATTTACATCATTAAATGATTTATTAGATTGAAAATATGTGATGTATTAAAGTTTACAAATAAAGATTTATATAGTCGAAAAAAGTCCGATAGAACCAATAGAAAGGTAACTATTTTGTCACATTTTTAATTAAATTTTGTTAAATAAATTAATTTTTTATACTATAAATATCTTTTTTTTCCTTATAAATAAACACATTTGCATCCCATTTTAAATAAGATATACAAATTACTAAAACTTAGAAATAACAGTTCAAAAGTTCAACAAAAATCCTACACGCGTTTTTATAAAGAAACATATAACCACACACATGTCATTCCAGCAAGCGAATACGACACAGCATAGGTTTCCGGACTAAACGACTGGTTTACCCGACATCACTCAATAGGCATGTCGGGTTTGCCGAGCGGTTTCCGATGCAGTCGCTTTCTTTCGCATCTGTTATAGGTAATTTGTGCCGTAACGTACAAGATATTTACAAAAATATTAAGCAGCAGAATACAATACACGCTAGACGTTGCACAACCACGAGACAAGCAGGCTTTAGAAGCGGCTTCAGCACGATTGACCACATACATACACTAAGAGAAACTACCAGCCAAACAAAAGGATATGAACTTCCACTAGCCATAGCCTTGATAGACTTTGAGAAGGATTTCGACTCGATATTATATCCTAAGACAATAATAGAAGCCCTAGCGAAAGACGGTATTGACAGCCTTATGGAGCCTTCAGGAGCCTTATTATAAAAACTTCCGTCAATATATATAAAGAAGCCAAAGCAAGAGTAATGATATATAAAACAACCCCAGAATTCCCAACTGGCAAAGGAGTATGACAGGGAGAGGAGAAGCAATATCCCCAAAGCTGTTTACAGCAACATAGGGTGCGTTTATGTTGGAGCTGCGATAAACGATAAAAGCAGTGATAAAAGCAACGACAAGAGCTGTGCAAAATTCACTTCTATGACGTGGTGTTCATAGTGGAGCTGTGATAGTAACGACGATCTCTGCTTTGCAAGTAGACGTTGAGACCAACTCAACCGATTGAAAATATATGTTTAAAATGAGTGATTCCGAAGAGGAATTATTTTTAGCTTCAAATGCTGTTCAATATTATATTGTTAAAACTGCAGATAAAAAACGCAAATTCTATGCACACCCTATAAATACCAGAAGGTACAAATTTGGAGAATTTCACAATTTCAATCTATTATGATGGTTTTATTTGTTTGGTCCCACAAGACAGATCTAATAAATATTTCACTTATTAAATTATCGGTATCCATGTCGATCACCCTTGGTATAAAAGCAAAGAAAATAGTCAAAACAAGTAGCGCTGCTCTTATCGTTGCTCAACTGCAAAGCGTGGCTCGACGCGTTGCTCCAATATACATACCTACATATAAATTAATATAATAATATTCTTTGCTTCGCTACTATCGCTGCTCTTATCGTTTATCGCCGCTCCAAAATAAACGCACTCTTAGAAGAAATCTTCCGTCAACTAGACTGGGCAAACAAAAGATTTAAAATAGATGGAGAATATCTTAACCATCTACGATTCGCTGATGACATAGTTCGAGTTGCCAATAGTCCTGAAGAACTACACAGCACAAATTAATGAATTAAATACAGCCAGCAATGGGTCTCAAAACGAATTTAGCAAAAACTAAAGTAATGTAATTCAATAGTAATGTACAACGAACTAGTGGAAAGAAAAGACATTCTAATAAATAACACAACACTGGAAATAGTAGAAGAATATATATATTTGGGACAACTAATACAAAGCTCGGTATCTCTACTACCAGAAATCAACAGAAGAATTAAGTTAGCATAGAGTACTTACGGAAGAAACTCAATCATATTCAAATCTAGAATTTCATCTAGAACACTATCAAAAGAAGAAAACATTCGACCAATGTGACCTATGCATGTGAAACCTGGACCCTTAACACGGACATCATAGAGAAACCGCAGGTCGCATAACGTTCAATGGAAGGAAATATGGTGGGAATAACCAAGAGAGGCCTAAAACAATAGAGTGGATACTACAAAGGACCCAGGTAATAGATGTCATCCAGAGATTCAAATCCGTCAAGTGGCAATGGACAGGATACCCGGCAAGAAGAACGGATAACAGAAGGACCACAAAAATTACAGCACGGTACCCAGGAGGAATTTAGAGACCTAGAATAAGACCAAATTTGAGGGGACTATGATATTAGGAAATTAGCAGGGATAACTTGGGCCCGCAATAGACAACAATGGGTCCAACCAGGGGGGTGACAGTAAACCGGAAAATTGGAAACAGTTCTGGCGCGGTCCTACCCAGGCAGAAAGCATGGCCTTCTAGACTGTCCTAGACAAAAATCTGAATATTTCTATATGATTTCTGTCAATTTCTGTTACGGAACATTTTTGTGCACGTCGGCGTCCTCTTCTTTTGTCTGTGTGTTAGCCATGTGTCAACTCCCGAGGCCTCTGGCAAGGTCGGGCGCCATTTTAATTTTTGTCGTTTAGATTTGATTGGAAGTTTGTTTATGATATTTCGGCTGAAATTTATAAGTACAAAGATGTTTTTTGTTATAAAGTTCCTTGTTAACACTTTAATAAAGTATATATGATATTAATTACATGAAGAAAATGATGAAATCGACGTTTCTGCGTGTAGTAGGTATGGGCCATATTATATGTAAAAATAGGTAATATACTAACTGTTTTTATATTCTTTTAGCTTTAGACCCAAGGATCTTGGGATATTCTTTACCAAGGATTTTTCCGTATCTCTACTTTAAAGACTGATCGGTGATTTTGAGCAATTGAAAGCAAGCTGTACAAGGTAAATTATGATTATTGAACTATTATTAGCCTACATTAATTATCTACAAGATGAACAGAAATGCCTAATTAATCACATATGTACCTATTATGTATTTTCATAGCAATAATGCTATAAATCTATGTATGTAGATTATTTTTAAAATACAAATTAGGTATTAGATGTATATGTATCATATTTTTTATTCATTTTATTTTTATTCAAGTCCTGTTTGATTTAATTCATAAAAGTCTTATGTACCTATATTTATGTTTTTTTATATATTTTTTTGATTCCAGGTTTTGCGTGGGTTCCTGTTGTCTTTTTCCTGCTTCCAGTTATTTAGTTTTACGCCCGAGAAGTTGTGAAAACATTTATTTATCTTCAAGTTTCTGTAAGTCTGTTACTGTTACTTTACTAATTCACTTTAACACAGCATCTCTGATGTTATTTAAATATTTGATATTGATACAGTAGTTTATGTGTTTATAGCTCTTTAATTGTGTTGATTTGCATATTTACATTGTTCTAAATTCCAAATAAATATTTTTGAGTAATTTTGTTGTATTATTTACTCCCAGAAAGAGTAAAAAGTATATTAACCCTCATTTAAACCTCCTGAAGAGCCCGCCATTAAAAACCGGAAACGGAAATAAATTTCATAAAATTGAAATTGTCATGTCTATGTCGTGTCTATGTCATGTCAAATGTCCCAGCCGCCATATCTGAAAATTAGTTACCCAGGCAGCCACGCTGTTTCCATAATTTAACATTGACTTGACACTTCTTCTTGTATTTATTATTTTATGGGTCCAACTACAAAGAGGGTATGTAAGGGAGGATAAACCATAATTGGAAATGGTTGAATAAGCTGAAAATGATGATGATGATGATTTGGCTACATTTATTATTTAGACTGATTTTTTGAGTCATCAATCTCACACTTTTCTTTTTTTCTTTTTTCTTTTCTTTTTCGTATTACGGAGTTAATTTTCCGTACATGGAAAAACTAAAAAGATTATTCATGTGTTAAGAGTTTTTATTTACTTACTGCTTAAGATTTTTTAAGTCTTCATTTTAGCGCACTTAATTTTTTTGTTTTGCAAATTATGTTTATTACGATTTATACCGCAAACTATTTTAACTAAGAATACTTAGCCTCCCCTTTCTGAAAATCGCCCTTTTTAACATAGTAATCTAAATTTACAGGATGGCGTGCTACCTTTTGTAGGGGCTATTTTTCGAAGAAGTAGAGAACGTGGACCTGCTGGAAAATGGATTTTTATGATAAGAAGAATAAAAGTGAGTTTCTTTCTAAGACCAGCATGGTTTAAATTCATAGCAAATCTTAATTAAACAAAAACAAATAATGTTAAATAATCGCCTTTAAAAATGCTATAATTTTTTTATTATTGTTGATCTGTTAAACCTTACAGAAAAAATCTTGCAAGAATATTTTTATTCAAATAGTGCAGTGCTTTAAGCCCTTATGGGATACAAACCTCGGAATTCATTTACCGTGAACTATTTTTTATAAAACTTTTTGCATTGTATTGTTAATAAGATATATTACAAAGTTTACCCATTTAAATCCGTTGCTTTCATTTTAGTATTTAAATAAACACACATATTAAATGCATACATACAAGATGGCACCGTATTCCGGAAAAGCTCTGTATCAGGATTTCTATTCGCGATTTTTACTCCAAACCTTTTACAAAATATGTGTTTAATGGTAGTTCACATTTCAAAAATATTTTTATAGATATACGGGGTGAATCAAATATATACATATCTATATTTGTTTAATTCAGTAAATTTGCTATAAAATTCCGGTTAGTGGTTTTTTAATTATGATCACTTCCATGAGGACGTCAATCTAGACGTCCAGGAACCTTCGTATGAGAACATCTAATCGAGACGATCGACTTATTGTAAGTTTATCGCGAAGGAACCGCCGTTTGCCAGCTTTTCAAATTGTTGATGAATTGTACTTAAGAAACGTACATATTAACTAACGGACTATAATAAGATTAAATGAAGCAAATCTTATGCTTCGGGACCAGAACTTACTTAGCAGGTCCAAGGTCCAACTACTACCAGGTCCTTGACTAGGCCCAAAAGCAAAGGCATTGTCTTAATGTAAAAATTACGAAAAAATGTTAATGTCTGCCTCAAAACCGAATATTTCCGACAAAAATAAAGCTAATGAGATGAACCAAAAAACAAACCATCGAGAAAGGATGTATCTAGATGATAAAATGATTTTTAAATTTCTTTCTTTTGCTTTTACCATATTCCACAGGGTGTTTCAAACTTTACCAAAATATCAACATTTTGTTTTCCCTCGTATAATTAACAGATTTTTCAGATAGTTTAATTTTTGATTTAAAAAAAGATACTAAAAAGTCAAATAATCATCAAAATCGGCCCATTAAAACAAAATATATTAACCTTTAAAATGCATCAAAGTTTTTAGGTGCCCATTTTTCGTGCCGGTGAATGTATTTCAAAAACTATACATTTTAGTCATATACTTTACTAATGAAACAAACCTTTATTTTTTTACTAGAGTTCAAAAATCAATTAATATATAGGGTGTTCCATTACAAAAAACTTAACGTTGATGTGTAACTTTTCTTGGGGACACCATGTAGAACTCTACATAATTTTAGAAAATACTTTATATTGACTTACATAAGCTCACAAAAGTTCACTTCAATACAAACTTTTGTTCTTTTTGCAAAAACCGCGTCGTATATGTCGCGCCACCCTGTATAATTCGATTTCAATAAAAATCCCAATGATTAGAATATAAGCAGAATAGGTATAGCTTATGCATTAGATTTATTTACTTTAATGAATTTACTTAGAAAAAGAATTAAAAAAATCAAAAAATTAAAAAAGAAATAATTAAGAATTTACTAAAATTACTAAAATTAAAAGCAACGAAAAAAAATGGGTAAACATTTTAGTATTTATCTATAAAACACAATACAGAAGGTTTCACAATAATACATTAACAGTAATTGAATTCCGAGGTAAAAGTCTCTGGGCACTCCACTACAAGATTTAACTGTCCAAATATTGGATCTCCTGTTAATGTTACAGCGAAGTTGTATAGGTTTTTTAAAGGTATGCTGAATACATATGCCAAATTTTAACAATTTTGGACAAGCCGATTTGAAGTAATTTAAGAAAAACTACATCTCTTTTTAAATTCAAACTGAACAGGTAACAATGCAAGACCCGGCAAATGCCAACGTACTTTAAGTCCGTTACATAAGTTATGTCATCCTATAATGTTGTAAACGTCAAAGTGTATTTTCTAAACGTTAGGCTTTTGCCTCATTTGAAACAGTTTTAAATTAAAACACAAACAAAAATGCATTTTGGGGACACTAAACGTAGGTGCTATAACGTAGTACTCAAAGAATATACCTAGCTAGAAAAAGAATGGACTCTGCCATACTGAAAAATGGTCCGACAGAAGTGGCGCCATCTATTGAGTAGGGCTTGTTTTAAATGGATCGAAGCCGCGGGCTTTTTAAATGAGCGTATTTATTGAATTTTACTCTAAAATAATTAAATTTGATTATTAAATCTTATTTTTTACACAAATTCAACAATACTAATAACAAGTGTCGTTGTGATGTGTAAAAAATAAGATTTAACAGTATAATTTATACAATTATTAAATAAAATTAAAGCCAAACATGTCTAAATATTATTTATTATTTAAAGTTTTTATTTATAAGTCAAATATTTAAACATCGTTTATTATAATAAAAGAAGACCAACGTAATACGCCCAAAGTTTTGTAAATGGAGTAAATATAAATAGGTACTTAAATGATGGCAAAACTAAAAGACTTACATTATATTTTTAGGGCAACAAACAAAAGGAATTGTCTAATTAAAACGCATATAACAAATTATAGTTTGAAAAACGTTTTGATAATCATTTGATAATATTATGATTGGCGCTATGACAACGACAATATTTTTTGAAAATTTGACAATAGTATGACAATGACCGTTGGAAATTATGGAAACAACAAAAAAATTCTGATTTATCGCCATCTGGCAATAACTAGTAGTAACTTCTTAACCTAAAAATTAATTGCACTACCACCTAGCGCCCGAGGCTGGAACTATTTTATTTGAAATTTCCGTGGAAACGGTGGAACCGCTTTTGCTATTTCACTTTCCCGCCCCTTCCTGTAGTACTGTAGAGAGCACAACAAATTACATCTGGCGATGCTCAAATCATAGGTTGACAATTTAAGGTATATTGACATTTGACTGGTTTTGCTTTGTTACCTGTTTTTTAGTTTTAAATTAAAAATAGATCCAGTATTTCTTAAATTCCTTTAAATTGACTTGTTCAAAATTGTTCAATTTTGGCATGTGTATTCAGCATAGGCAGACCTTTAAAAAAGCTTTACAAAAGTTACAAACTATCTGTAAAATTAATTGAGAAGCCAATATTTGGACAGATTTTTTTCTAAATTTACGTGGGATTTTCTATGTTTCCAATGACGATGCACCACCATATTATCTTTCTTTTTCTTATTTCTGTACTGCCTTAGTATATCAATTATTTTTTAAGGAAAATATTGAAGAAAAACGTATCATGGCTCACCTTGAAGATGAACACAAAGCAATAAACAAGTTAAAATATGTCATTGAACATTTCATACTCTTCACAATGAGTGTATCTTATGTTATGGCAAATTTTACCATGTTGGTAAGTAACAAAAGATTTGTTCAAAATAACTTCTAGCCTATTAAGCTATCTGGCAAAGAAATCTGAAAGAATCTGATTTTTCGTGAACAATTTGAACTAGAGTATGTCGAACGAGAGAACACATGACATTTGTTGTCTGTCATTTTAATTCACAGGTAAATCGTATTTTCTGTCATTTTAAGGATGTTCTCTGTCGAAATCTACCTTTACCTTTTTGTTTTAATTTATACCAGTTTACTTTTATTTAATTACAATAGTTTAATAAATAATATTTATTAAATATGTATTTATTATTCCATCAAGAAAAACGAAGAAGAGTTATTTTACAATGACTTGTAGATATATGGATTTTCTATGAAATAGCTAATTACGGCAATTTAATTTTCTTCATTTCCAACGACATGTTTCTGCCTAATAGTTTTTTTTATAAACCACACTACCAGCCCTGCGAAATAGGACAAGTATTTTTTCAAAGGAACGCTTATCAGGAAGATTCCTATTTGGATATCTTTGAACATAAGCTCTTGAGATCAAGAAGCAATTTTCCTCACAAAATAAAATCACTAGTAACATATCCATTCGTTCCGCAAGCAGATACTGCTTTATTTTTCTTGATAAAATAATGAATTCTTACTTATTAAACTAATGTAGGTAAATAAAAGTAAACTGGTATAAAATTAAATAATGTCCATAAACTAATGTCGATTTTTAAAATAGTTTTTTTTAATAAAAACTGTAAAGAAAGTAATAAACTGTCACTAGAAAGTTACCATGGCGACACCAGCCATCTTGATTGCCATTTTATTGAAAAATCGCTTTTTATTCAAAATCTGAGCGAGATAGTTATAGGAAACCCTAATATAGTTTGAAATAGCATTTGAATGAGCTTCGATTTATTTAAAAAATACAGTGTGTTGCATTTGAAAGAAAGTTTTTATGTTAAATAACTCCTTAAAATAGATCAGCAATTTTTGGTACCCCTGTATAAATTTAAGTAACCAATAACATTTTTCAGTAAAATTTATTTCTCTACCTTTAAACTCAGCACTAGAATTAATTTTGAAAAGTAATATACAGGGTGTTGATAATCTATTCTATTGTAGCATGCATATTTAAATATGTTTAAATATCTCAAAAACTAAAGATTTTAAACATATTTAACTCTTATATGCCTTTTTTGGGCCCAAGAATCCAAAAATTAGATAAAAACCGGGTGTTCCATAAAAAAAATACAACTTTGGTATGGATCTCTGAAACATCCGGTATATTTCAAAATAATTTTAAATTGTTCACATTGTTTTCCCACATATACCCATAAAATATTTTGTTTCTGCATCTTTCCGTTTTCGTATAATCAAACGAGGCGAATGAGGTGCGCCACCCTGTATACAAAGGGAAACAATAACCACCACTTGTGATGTTTACGCAGGATAGCCTAAAGCTTGATTTTCATGCATCCGTTATCCGATGATACGTTGATACGATATTAATTTTATTGGTTGAATTTAAAGGCTTTGATTGGTTAGAAACGGTTAACCAATCGAAACCTTTAAATTCAACCAATAAAATTAATATCGTATCATTGTATCGTCGGACAACGGATGCATGAAAATCAAGCTTAAGTCAAACTTAATAACACAAAATACCTGAAAAAATTAGTAATCATTAAACGGGGGGAATTAATCATATGTACTCTTCTAATATCAAATCTAACCTCAAACATTTGCCTGTAACATTCTTGACAGTGTCGACATTTACTCCATAGGCGAAGTCCACAATAACAGTCGACGTGCCGAGCCCAACTCTGAACACGATTTTGCCTGTTTTACATATTCTTCGTTGATAAATTAAATAAAACATTTCCAGGTATGGTCAATTATCTTTGTAACTCAAAGAGGTCTAGTTCTATTTATTTGGGCCAACTTAATTTGGATTATACCGAACGGTAAAGCCGCCATGTTGAAGTCAAGTCCCTTTTTGGTCGGGTTTCTGTGGCTTCATTTGGGCCTACTCTACACATACTCTTCGAAGCTCACTCGGAGTCTATTCATAGACTCTGTGTGGTATTTCAGACTTTCAGCAGGTAATAAAAGTTATGTTAAATGAAACCGGGTTCACATTATTACGCACTACACATTCAATTTTGTTTCCTATATAAACTATTTAAAACAATTATCGGATATAGTAATCGCAAAACAATTTTCGATGCACTTGATCAACTTTCAGTGACAAGCGATAGCAACAGCGCTGCCAGATTGTAATGGATTTATGAGATGAATCTGAATATTTTAGTAATTAATTTATTTATTTCTTTTATAACTTATTTTACTTTTTACATAGTAGCTCATTAATATTTGCAACGGGTGAAACTGCACTCACAGTAGAAATATTTAAATTTAAGGCGGCAGCTACTCACTACAAACAGAAATAAGCAGAAATAACTTTGAAGGTGGTATAATGTGCTTACCAATCAAACTTACTTCTCTGACTTCGACTGCAGTAATAACACAAGCTCGTTGCTTCGACTGTTTAAATGCTTCGGCATATTTTCAACACACAATTTCAAGTAATGCAATATAAAAACTCGAAAATTTAGTTCTTAAAAGAACTGATAAAGAAAGATAAAGTTAAAAGTACAATTTTTTAAAAAAGACTATGAAAATCGGCAAAAAAATGGAAATTGCTCACAAAGATTCAACAACAATACGATATAATACAAAATACTGACTGACATTATAATAATAGTTAAATAATAAACGACAACGTTGTTGAACACGGCGCGATGTGGCTAACCTGGGCCCGAATTCTTTAATCATGGTACAAAGAATACAAGGTATGATCGATAGCGGCTCCAATTTCGTTCAGTTCGCGCATACCACCTGTGACGTCACTAGGAAAATAAAATAAATAAAGAAAGTTGACAGGAGATCTGCATTTTTTGTATTTTTTAGGGTTATGGTTAAGAATTGTTTATTTTTTCTGACTTTTTAGTTCGTTTAATTTAATAATTACCTACTAAAACCAGCAGTTCCAAAAATATATTTAAAAATAAAAGACATAAATCCAAAATATTAATTATCTATTAACATGGATTTGGACGATAATAGGTAAGAATACTAAATTTATTTCTATATTCGGTATAAAATTGTTTATTAGGTTTTTAGTTTGCGATGTTTATAGGGACAGGGATGAGGATATCTATGGAAAAGTAACTACAAGAGGAATTGTTACATCATTTAAAAAATGTTGGGAAGTTGATTGTTCCCCATCGAATAGTAGAAAATGCCAATGTAGATGAATGTATTGTAATTGTGATAGAAGTAATTCCAAGGGTGAAGTTTATTATAATTAGCGGAAGTAATTCCAAGGGGTGAAGTTTATTATAATTAGTGACCTGTGCTTCTTTTTATATGTAGATGTTTCAGGTTTTGAGAATGAATCGGTTAAACAAAACCCAAAATTTTGAGTACTTGCATACCCAGAATATGCCCATCAAGGATTATAGCTCAAATTTCCTTTAATGGTAGGCAATTATTCAATACAAATTAACTTTTTTTTAATGACTGAAATATTAAATAGTTTACAATATGGTATATCACTGTAAAAATATATTACTTTTAAGTACAATTAGGGCCCGATACATTTCAAAAAGTAGAATATTATTTTATATTAAATGAGGTAAATAATGTACCAACAATCAATTTATATTAATAACGGAGATTAAATAATAACAGAATAAATAGTTCTTTTTTATACTACAAATAAAATATAGAATACAACAGTATTTAAAAAATTAAATAAAAAAGTTGTCCCGGCCGAGATTCGACCTCCGGTCTCTCGCTTCCTAGCCTGACTCCTCACGCACTGCTCCACAGTAACTTATTTAGCGAGAGTTCAATAACGGTATATAAACAAAAAAAAACAGGTTCATTACAATATCTTGACGATTTGAATTAGTGCGCGGAGCGTGCTGACCAATAGCGCCTGTTATCACCTCTGACGTAGCGACCAACCTGCGCAATATCATACCTTGTCTATAACTTTGACATAAAAACGTTACGCTTTCAAAGCGGTGAGCGAAAGTATGCTATTAGCGGAACGCCAAGCAGTCGATTTTGGTACTCCCGCTGCGAATCGTTTTCTGGATACGCGTTGAGCACTTGTTGACAGCATCGCAGGTATCTAATAGTCATATGTGAATAAAACAATGAAAAATGTCAATGTTACGTGAATTTCATAACCTATTTTTGAGTTATGTCAACCTATTTTTCTATGGATATGTCATTATTCTTATTATACGAAGGAAATGTTGAAAACGCTTCTCAGCATTTTCGATGTTTTGAACAATATTTATAGCTGCCAAGTGGTAAATTATCAATTACTTATTGAGGAATTTATAGCAGAAGTAGTAATTTTCATTAAAGAGCAATATAACGCACAAAATCACAATTTTTTCGATTCTCACTGACACACATAGGTCATTTTATGTATTTTAGGAATTAATAAATAAAAAAATTGAATGTCGAAAAAAGTATTTTTTTATATTTCATCTTGGAGCTAGGGCCCCATAGATATTATTTCGGCAATATTATATTTTAATATTAACAGAGGTAGCCATGGCGAGAATGACAATATCAAAGTTTGTTTGAATTATTTCGCATTGTAAAATTACTGTCATTAGTTCATAAAGTTTCGAATTTTGTTGTTACGAATAGAAAGTGAGTTTAAAAAGTAGTGTTGTGTTATTGCGTACCATAAGGTAAGATTTATTATTAAAAAAAATAATATCCGTGTAAAAAGCTTGTGACTTGACGAAAAGATACAATGTTTTAATAATAAGAAAAAAAAATAGTTTTTTTTCATAACCTTGTATTTAAAAAGGTTTATAATTCAGGATTTATACAGATTTATTTCAAGAACATTTTTTTCGTATTCACAATCTTTTTATCGATTAATCTATCCTAAATTTAGCTGCCAAGATGTCCCAAGAGAATAAATATATATTGTTTTAGGTACCATGTCAATGGAAAAATCTCTTTTGTTTTCTGCTTAGTGTGAAGGCAATTCTTTGAAGAAAAAAAATGCATCTGTTTTGCGATTTGTTCTGAATACGCTAAATTTAGGGCAACATGATGGCGACGAACATTATAATGAAATAGTGAAAATTATTAAAAAAAATAAATTATTATTATTACTCTTTGTCTAAATGTGTGGGAGCACGGTCAAATAAGAAACCACTTATCAAAGAGGTTCTTAATTTACTTCGATAGCGTACTTTACAGGCATCAGAGTTAGGACAAAATGATAAAAATATTAGTCAGGATGATGATGATCATTATTGATGATTGAATATTATTGTTACATAAATTTCTCTAGTAAAATAGTTTTATTATCATTTTATTTATATTTGTTAAATGTTTTAGGTTGTTTTTTTTTTCATTGTTCAAGCTAATTTTTACTTTCAATTACTAATACAGTACATCTTCTGTAAACCTTCTAGATACTAATAAATTCACTTGCAAAAAAGTAAGGAACTACAGTTTTTGTTTGAGTTCGGTATAATAAAATGAAAAAAAAAATATATTTCGTCAGACACCCTGTACAAGCACAAAATGAAACAAAATATCATTATTCCACGCATTTATTTATTTTCTTACCAAACAAATTATTTTTGTTTTAAAAAATAATTTAAATTTTAAAGGCATTATTTATTGCCGCCTAAATTGGCGAAAATGACCTATGTGTGACAGTTCGACAAGCAAAAGGATCCTTTAAGGTAACCGTTTTCAAAGCGCTTAACGCAATCAGTAAGGACGCCAAGCGCGTCAGATGAGAATACCCAAATCGGTAGCTAAGTGAGCGCTCAGCGAAAATTAACGTCATATACGCTGAGCGTCTAAAAGCGCTGAGCGTTTTCGAAGTTACAGAATTCGGGCCCTGGCGATAATAAAATTCGCTTTAAACTAATTTTTGCAACTTTAATCCAAATAAAATATCTGTTACAACTATTTGCTCTATAAAGTAAAATGAAGAGCTCCTCGATATCTTAAATCGCTACCTCAAAACTACAACTAGATATCTCTAAAATCATAGTTTTGGCAACTTCAGCTGCCTAGTTGTAATATCCTGGAAGTTTATTTGGGAAATATCTGCGTTTCACACTTCAAATATAAAGTGGATGATCTCACCTTTACGTTATCTAGTTGTTGCAATAGAAAGATAATCCAAAATAACAAAGGTTGGTAAGAGGTAACTAAAAATAGCCAATTTTCGATATTTTGTTGCAGTTTTCAGGTAGCGAAATTATACAACAAATTTAAATATTTTTGCCAAAATTTTATTTAGCCAAATTTTATGACGTACATTGGAAATTGTTTTGCGATTAGTGTATAAAAAAATATACGGGATGAGTCTGAAATAAGTGCAAATATTTTTAGGCGTAGTATATTTCGACCCCTGAAACACGATTATAATGTATTTTCGCGAAAAAAAAATGCAAAAATTTGAATTTTTTTTCAGTTAAAAAACATAATTTCTTGATAATATGGCAATATAAGTAGTAGATTAATTTTACAATAAACAAAACCCAGAAAATTCAGTGATTCTCAAAATTAACGCAAAAAAATTGTTTTGGGATATTTTCAAAGTGAAATAACTCGGTTATTTTGGACTTATTTGAAAAACGGCAAAGAGAAAATGTGTTTATTTTATCGAGGTTTACCAGCCCTGAAAATATTTGCACTTATTTAAGACTCACCCTGTGTATTAATTTGAAAAACAAGACGCCTTCAATTTTCTGAATTATGTTTTTAAATAGTATCGATGCAGTAAAGGAAAATATTCGGAACACTATGCCTACGCGCTGACATGCCATTTTTAGGCGGGCGACTATTTAGTTTCAAAAGTAAAAACAATCCATTCTTAACCCTCAACTGGCGTGGCGATGGCGTGGTGAATTTTTGTAACACTTATGGCGTGCGACGGACCCCAATTTTTTTTCAGTTTAAAATACATGATGAAGAGATTTTATAAAAAGCTTGTTATTTTAACACTGTTTACGATATATTCAAACTTCTGAACAAACAATTTCATTAATTTTCAACAAATTAATAAGAACGGACACAAAAATAAAGTAAAACGCATTTTTTAGGAATTTTTGACAACAGAAATGTAACTTGGCTAAGAAACCCATAGAAATTAAAAACATATATATTTTATGATTTTACCGCATTATTAAAAGTACAAACAACTGAAATGTGAAGCTAAAGTAATAAACATAATTATTTTCAACAAAACTGTACAGGGTGAGTCAAATTCGACGCTTTTAAATGGAAACACCCTTTTCTATAGGAGATAGACGAAAACTAATATCGGTGTCTGGAGCTCAGTTTTCATCAAAAACATGATGGTGAAAACCGCACATCAATATCTGTTACCGTTTCGAAGTTAAGGGGTGTTTTTAATAAATGTGCATTTTTAACAAATCGCTGTAACTTTTTTGATATGGAAAATTTTGTATTTGTATGAAAACATTTCCAAAGCACCTTTTTACGTAGAATTTAATGGTTTAAGTATAATTTTTTTTTAAATTAATAATTTAAGAGTTATCAACAGAAAAATTGATTTTTTATTTGGGACATCCTCTATATTTTTAATTAACTGAAAAGAATTTAAAATTACCTTTCCAAAAATATAGCACACTTGATATTTTGTTATAATCGCCTTTGAAATACAGAATTTTTAAAAGTTCTCCACTTTTAACTAGTTGGCTTTGGACCCCTTATTGATGATATGCCCTTAATGGAACTCGAAAACATATTTTTCCAGGAAGACGACGCCTCTGAACGCTGAAGTTATCAGCAAATTTTTGCAGCCAATTTCAAAAATAATTGAATAGCTAACCAAGATCCCAGCCGTTGGCCGTCGAGGCCGCCTGACTTAGTACCCATGGATCTAATCCTATGGATATATTTGCAAAAAGGTTCCTTATTCTTCCGTATAATCTAGACAAGAATTAGAAATACTTAGCAGCTATGACAGAGTTATTCACCCCCACTTCACTCATTCTTTCACCCCCACTGGGTTAATGAATTCCGCGAAAAATGTTCAAAAACTGCCCCGTATGTCCATAACAGAAGACGGTCGATATGTCGAACACCTGTAGCAAAATCTCATGCCTTGGTTTGCTATTTATTTTTATTGTTATTAGATATAGTTTAAATGTGTTGATGTTGGTTAAATATATTTTAAATTGTTATAAAATTCTGTATCTCTCATAGCACATATTATTTTCGATTTAATTGATCCTCACAGCTAGATTTTTTTTGCATTACAGCCGGTGCCGTTCAAAGCCTACTTATTTAAAGCGGGCGAATTTTTATATACTCTATATCTCGAAGAGGAATCGAGCAAAATATCAAGTGTGTTATATTTTTGGAAAGGTAATTTTAAATTATTTTCAATAAATTAAAAATATACAGGGTGTCCTATATAAAAAATCAAATTTTCTGTTGATAATTCTTAAATTATTAATTTTAAAAAAATTATGCTTAAACCATTAAATTCTACGTAAAAAGGTGCTTTGGAAATGTTTTCATAAAAAGGCAAAAATTTCCATAGCAAAAAAGTTACAGCGATTTGTTAAAAATGCATATTTTTGAAAAACACCCCGTAACTCCGAAACGGTAACAGATATCGATATGCGGTTTTCACCATCATGTTTTTGACAAAAATTGGGCTCCAGACACCGATATTAGTTTTTGTCTATCTCCTATAGAAAAGGGTGTTTCCCTTTAAAAGTGTCGAATTTTACCCACCCTGTACATCACTTTTTCAAATACAGTTCATGCTAATAAGGATCTGCATTTACCGCACATGGATCGTGCACATTTGATTCATGAGATTTTCGTTTTTTGTAATTTCTTTATTGACATAATATGGTTGTGACAGACTTTTCTGGTATTGATTATTCAGTTTTCTCTCTTCTATAAGTAAGAGATTCAGAATCTGAGTTATAGTTACTCTTCGGAGAAAAATCATTGTCTCGATGGTTTTCATCTCACTTAAGCCTCTTTAAGTTCATCAAACCACTTAATTAATGCTTCCTCAAAATTAGCGTCCCAGTGAGCCCCCGCTGGTAGGAACAATACTTGATAAAATCAAGTGCGCCTTTAACAGTTGCATATTGGTACCCTAACTTAAAGGTAAATGGCGCGGCGAGGCCTAATTCTTAAACGTAAACATTTTACAGAGGTTTACATCGTGCTTGGGGTCCGCTGGACCCCAACACGCCAGTTGGGGGGTTAAGGTACGTGCCATAGTGCACCAGCTTTCGGTTTTTCAATGGCAGGCTTATTTCGCGGCGGGTTCTATCACCATGTAAACCTGCACCATTGAAACAGGTAGTGGCCATTAACAACCGTTTGCAACCGAAAAGCAATATGGCGGCACTAAAATATTAAGAACCCTTGCATAAACTAACTTAATAACAAAACAGGTTCTGACGTCTCCGATATGGCCTGGATGCATCTCCTGATTCAGTCAACATTTGGCATCCTCGTGTCCTGCGCCATGAGGCAGTACTTCCACGATAAAAGGAGGAAAAAAGCAGAGCAACAATTGGATGAGATAATGGGCGCCCGTAGTAGTACGTATATACACTCTATCCAACAATATTGGACTTATTATTCTATCGTAAAACTCCAAATATTCTAATCAATATTCAAGTAGGTATCTAATTTTGTACATGGAGGAGTTTCAAAAATACAGGGTGTTTCAAAAAAACATTTCATATGAACATGGGTCTGATTCTGCTTCTTTGTTTCGTTACAGGAGGTTAAAATCTTTTTTTTTTATTTATTATAATGTTGTTCCAAGTGCTTTTACAGATTCGAACAAAATTTGGAGAATAAAAGTTACTATGAGTGCTACATATTATAATAAAAAAAGTTTAATTAATAAAATTAAAATAAAAAAATTGTGTGTGCAGTATGTAGGTGGAACTTCTTATTAACAACTATTAAATTGAAGGATTTGAAGGATATATATTTTTTATGAATGCTTTTTATAAACTTCCGAAAAATTAGAGTTAATATAAAACCGTATACTATTCTTCTTCTTGCGGTGCCGTGCCTGTCTTCAGGCGTTGGCGATCTCCATGACTATTTCGTGGAAGAGTTCTCTATCTTCTGCTGCATGAAACAGCCTCTCCATCCCCAGACCGGTCCAGTTCCGTATATTTCTGAGCCATGACAGTTTCTTTCGACCTACCCATCTTCTACCTTCGACTTTTCCTTGAATAATCAAACGAGGAATATAATATTTGGTGCCACGCATTATGTGTCCGAAGTAGCTCACCTTTCTGGCCTTAATGGTGGTTAACAGTTCCCGATCTTTGTTCAGCTGTCCAAGAACTTCCTCGTTGCTTATATGTTCGGTCCAAGAAATTTTAAGAATTCTCCGGTAGCACCACATTTCAAAGGCTTCTATTTTATTTATATTCTCGACTTTTAGCGTCCATGTCTCACATCCGTAAAGAAGAGTGGACCATATATAACAACGTAGTGTTCGCAATCGGGTTTGCAGTGACAGGTTTCTATTAGTGAGGGTGGTATTCCATTTTTTGAATGTTCTACGTGCCATTTCAATTCTTGCCTTTACTTCTTCGTCACATGTATTTTCACTATTTAGCCAGCTTCCTAAATATCTAAAATGTGGTACTTGTTCAATATTGTGTCCGCTGATTTTTATCGGGATTGGGATTAATTTGTATTTTACCCACAAACATCCATTTCGTCTTCTTGATATTTATATTAATACCCCATTTGCAACTAGCTTCATAAACCCTATCTAGCAACGTTTGCAAGTCTTCCATGCTTTCTGCGACAATGGCGGTGTCGTCTGCGTACCTTACGTTATTTATGATCTCGCCTCCAATTTTAACGCCTTCTATTCTGCCGGATAAAGCCTCGTTAAAGATGTTCTCCGAATACAAATTGAATAATAACGGTGACAAAACACACCCCTGTCTTACTCCTCGTTTTATTGGGATGTCATTTGTAGTTCCTTCATCGACCCTAACAGGAGCAGTTTGACCGTAGTACAAGTTTACTAAAAGGCGCATGTCATAGTTGTCTACGTTATACAATTTCAGATGCCGAAAGAGCTCTGTATGTCTGGACTCGATCAAATGCTTTTTCAAGTCGATGAAGCACACATAGATGTTCTTGCGAAATTCGCTGCACTTTTGCAACAATAGCCTCATGCAAAACAGGGCTTCACGTGTGCCTAGTCCGCTACAAAATCCAAACTGCTCTTTTCCGATGCTCTGTTCACATTTAGCATATATTCGGTTGAGGATTATTTTTAAAAGTATTTTTAACATGTGGCTCATCAAACTAATAAGCCTAAAGTCATCACATTTACTCGCTTTGGTATTCTTGGGTAAAGCAATAAATATCGATCTCTGCCAGTCGCCAGGTAATTTTCCACTTTGGTAAACCTGGTTAAAGAATGCTGTCAAGACAGATATACTCTCGTTGTCGAGAAGTTTTATTAGTTCCGCGGGTATTTCGTCTGGTCCGGGAGTCTTGTTTGTTTTTGCCTGTTGTATGGCTTTTTCCACTTCCGATTTGAGTATACTTGACCACATTCTGCTTCATAATCTGCCAATAGTATCTCTGGAGCTTCCCGAGTGTCGTCATCAAATAGTTGTTGTATGTGTCGTTGCCACTCATCACATCGGTCTTCATTTGTCATTAATACTTGTCCACTAGCGTTGTGCAGTACTGATACCAATTTTCTCTTCTGTACACCAGAGATTTCTTTCAGCTTTTTATGTAAGTTAAAATCATCGTGTAAGCTTTGAAGGTGTTCTATTTCTTTACAGGATTCATGAAGACATGTTTCTTTTGCTTCTTTAATCTTTTTGCGAATTATCCGATGCGTTCGTAAGTACTGGACATGATCGTTGTTCTTATATTTTCTTCTTTCTTCCATGAGGCCTAATATTTCTTGCGTCATCCACTTCTTTCGTGCTTTTGTTTTTTTGGGTTTAATCATTTCATCTATATTTTGATTTCTTAGTAAAACTTTGATATCCTGCCAATTGTCTTCAACCCTTTTGTTTTCAAGTGGTGTTACAATTGTGTGCATGTTGCCATTCATTTCCTGTGATAGGTTCTTTAGAATATATATCTCCTGTTGCATTCGTGATCTTTTAATCGGTTTGCTATTCTTTTTAAGCCTTATGTTTAGTTTTGAGCAAAGTAAGTTATGGTCTGAGTGCACATCTGCTCCAGGATAAGTTTTTGTTGATTTAATACAGTTGCGGAAGCGCCGGTTGATTAATATATAATCGATCTGATTTCTTACAACGTTTTCCTGCGTGTGTTGGGGTTATGTCCATGTATACAATCTTAGGTATGGTAATTTATACCAGGTATTCGTAATGATATATTCTTCTTCCTGACAAAACTGTACAAGTCGATTTCCTCTGGCATTGCGTACGCCTAAGCCGTATTGTCCGCTGACGTCTTCTGTTGTTTCCCTGCCTACCTTTGCATTCCAATCTCCCATGATTAAAGTGATTTTGTCCTTTTTTGTCGCTTTTAATACCTCTTTGATATGCTGATAAAACATTTCAACTTCTCCATCGTTATGATCAGTGGTGGGGGCATATACCTGTACAATGTTAATAGTTACAGGTTTCATCGCTAGCTGTAGTAGCATTACTCTGTCCGAAAACGGTACAAAATTTCGTACAGAGTTACCTAAAGATTTGCTTATTATTATAGCCACTCCATTTTTATGAGATCAATCTCGAGTTCCCGATGCGTATACTGCATAGTCTTCCGAATGAAAAGTGGTTGCATCAGACCACCTGGTTTCGCATACTCCTGTTATTTGTATGTCCATTCTCTGAAGTTCAAACAATAAGTTCCTCAATTTTCCTGCTTCATAAAGTGTTCGAACATTCCATGTTCCAATTTTGAAAGAATTTTTATTTTTCCGCCCGGGGATTCTTAGCACCCCTGTCCCATCTAAGGGACGTCGGGAACTTGGGGCCGTTTTCATTTCTGTGTTTGTCATGATGATTGTTCTTGGGAAAGTTTAGTGCAGTGGTTTCCCCTTGCCTTCTACACCGCTATACATTTGCCGCTTCTGTGACTGTCACCACGCCGAATGTTTTCTGAATACAACCATTCCAATCCTTGTGATCTCTGCTTGCATTCAGTACTATGACAACTAGCTGCCATTGTCTAGGTCAGTTTTTTGGTTCGCTCCATATATTTAATATCTTCGGTACCACCCATATCTGAGAGGCTTTCCCCTACTCACCACCTGGGGAGGCGTCTGATGAAGGACTGACAACCCCCATCAATAGCAAATGGGATGGGAGGAGGAAAAGGATTTGGTATTTGATGGGATTGAAGGTTAGGACATGATTCCTCTCAAAAAATGGAGTGTGAGAGCAAATCAAGGCTCGTGTGGGCAGGGTCGCATCCCTGAAGTAGGTCGGACCCAAACCGGGATCGTAAGGTTGTACCTACCCACTACCACTGTCTACAGCAGTCTACACAGCTTTATAATATTTTATAATGTTTTTTTTTTTATTTTTATTAAAAAACGATAATTTACTCGGCCGGATAGCCTGGCAGATGTGGCCATTAAAGCAAAATACTACTATGTACATCTATATCTCTGACTTTAACTCTGACTGAACGGGCTTTGGTAAAAAGAGAAGATTGCTTTTAACAGAGAATGTTTTGTAAACAGTGAAAATTTTTTGCGCTGCCTCTTAGACTATAAGATAATAGACAGTTAAAGCAAGGCACAATACGTATACGTATCTCTCGACACGTAACGCAGAAACTTACGTTACGTCTGCCGTTGCGTTGTCGTGTAAACAAGAGTTAAAGCAAGTATTTTGACGTACGTAACGCAAATGGTACATTGGTAATTCTAAATTATTTTGTGAAACAATTTATTTAATTTTAAAATTGAAAATGGATATCTATTATTCCATTGATTCCACATTAAATTTATAAAAGTAATATCGAAAAATGAAGAAAATTATAAACGGAAATTATTTTATTACAGAAAGTAGTCCTTACAACTTAAAATGCTCTTCGTAATAAAAAAATATTGGAAAACAGACACAGCTTTATGATTATTTATTAGATTCCATCTTTTAGAATCCTCATATGGATTTTAGCTATAAGAACTAGCATTTAATTAAATAGATTCCAAAATGAGTTTATTATGATGCTTAATATTTTCATACTAATTTATTGTAATAAAATAGGCCCAGTTCTGTGACACTGGACCCAAAATTTATGAAATAACTTAATTACTAGCCAGTTGTGGAAACGAGTTGTTAGTGAATTTGTACGTTCGGCATCATTCGGGTGAAAATCGAAACTCCTTCGGCTCGATACGTTTGCGTTTTGTACGTACGTAAAGGCACATAAAGATACGTATCACGTATCCGTAAACGCAAGTGAATGTCTCACTGCGCAAGCGTACATGTCAAAGGATACGTTTACGTCTACGTCTTTGGCCGTGCTTTAAGTGTCTAATAATTATATTTCACAGGATTTAATATGGTATTATCAAGATCTGTCGTGCTTACAACGACTGCAGGCTTTTTATGGAAATGGTTGGCCCTAATCTGGATCTGGATGGTTGTTATGTTAATGATTTGGATGGAATTCTGGGGCACAAGCAACGCATTTAGGATCATGTTCGTCGCATTGGCAATATTTCTAGTTATGACTTTTCAGGTAAAACTTTCAAAGGAACATTTGGCTTTTTTTTGGATTTTATATTCCGGTTAGTCTCTGAATAAAAATACTAAGGCCGGTATTTATTCTCACGTCTTGAAACTGAGTCTCCGAAGAGACTGAGAAAAATAACAGGCTTACTAGACGCGTGTATACAGGTAACCAAACGTAAGCCTGGTATTTTTGTCGGCCTTTTGCCGTTTGACTGGAGTCACGTTTTGAGACTCGACTATAAATACGGCACGAAATCATGCAACAAGACAATGCAACAACAAAATACACTAGCACTACAAAATCTAGTAATATAGTTCGAAAACAATAAAAATTTAATTAAAATTTAAAATTGCACGATCCCTTGTGTTAAAATTAGACTACTAAATTTTCGCAAGTTTTACGCCATTTCATGGCCGGTGGCGCCTCTAGTGTTTGTTCGCATGGTTAGTCTTTTACTCCGGCTTATAGCTATTAAAGAAACAGTTCTAAAAGGGGATGTTGTGTGATATAAATCTTCTGTAATTTTTTTGATGTGGTCTGTCGAAATTTTACTTGACTCGTAGGACAGACTTAATTTTCTTTATACAGGGTGCTTCAAAAACCATGTACCATCTCTCGAAATGAGATTCCTCACGTAACAGTTGTTTCGTAGCTACAGGGTGTTAAAGTCTAAATATTTTTTCGATTTATTATAATTTTCTTCCAAGTACTTTTAGCGATTCGAATTAAATTTTGAGTGTAAAAGTTACTATAAATGCGACATATTTTAATGCTAAAAAATGGTTGACTTATTCACCAGGGACGTGCATATGAGTTATCACTGGAATATTTTTTCTAAAAAAAGCATTTACGCCACTGACTTTCTCTTACTAGCGAAATAGCCATTTAACTTTAACTTTAACTTGCGAAAGTTTTAAATAAGTACTCATTGATATCCTCATCCAAAGCTGTTAAAAAAAGTTCTTATAAATATGGGTATGGTGAAATGTACAGTTTTAAAGTTACAGGATGTTAAAACTTTTTAAAATTAGGTCTTTTGTAATTAAGTATCTTAAATATCATTATATTTTAATTTGAATTTGCTGTAGGTTGGACTAATAATAATAATAATAATAAAATTTAATAACAAGTTAGATAAAATAAATAATTTATTAATTTTATTTTTATTTTATTAATTGTGATTAATAAAATTGCATTTATCTCATCAAGGAGATCAAAATCGACCAAATATCAAGATATAACTTTTAATTAGCATTAAACCGCCCACACACTTTTGTTATCAAAAAAACGTCAGTGACGCACTTTTTTTTCGAAAAATATTCCCGTGATAGCCCATATGCACGTTCCTGATAAACCTGTAGGCACTTTTTAACATTAAAATATGTAGCAATTATAGTAACTTTTACCCTCAAACTTTCATTCGAATAACTAAAAACACTTGGAAGAAAATTATAATAAATTGAAAAAAAAACTAACAACATGTAGCTACGAAACAAAGCAAAATCGAACCTATGTTGATACGAAAAATAAAGCTTATTTTTACCTGAGGAATCTACTCACGAGAGATGGCACATGTTTTTGAAACACCCTATATTTTAGTGGTTTACAATTATTATTCTGTTACAGTTTTGTGTTCTGATTCATTTTTGTATTTTTCAGTTGTGTTCTTTTGAATTCTGGAAGAAATCTCTGAGAATTTACTGGTGGTTTCTTATAGGTTATGCTATGGCAAACTTTGTAACGTTTTATTTGTACGAGAGTGGCATGACTCGGAGATTGCTTTTGCAATACGTTGGTACAGAAGAACAGTAAGTAAGATTATATGTATAACCCAGCCCAGTAGATAAGTTTTATACGATCTAGCTATTACCACAGGCTGTTCATAACCAGCCTGTCGACTTATCGTCACAATTATCAATATCATATATCAATATGTCATATATATAATAGAAAATAAATTTCTTCCAGTTTTTAGGTATATAATAAAATTATATAAGAGTTTCGTGCCTTGAACTGCTAATATAGAAATTAATTCCACGCTGTGTTCGTCATAATGTGGATCAACCTGCTTTCACTACCGGTTTCGGGGCCCTACCTCATCATCAGGTGAGCTTGAGTATTTCCACAAAACGACAAGCACAGCGCAGAATATATAAATACGATTTGTCGGAAAGTAGTGGTAAGATACTTTGTCCGGTATAGTCGGAAAGTAGCGGTAAAATACTTTGTCCCGCATCGCGAGATAGCAGCCTGCGTGCAATAGTACTTTGGGCTAGCCGAAAAAAGCCTTTATTTACTACCGATCGTTGTGCCTCGGTGGTACGAAAGTACTACCATTGCACGCAGGCCGCTATCTCGCGATGCGGGACTTAATATCTTACCGCTACTTTCCGACAAGTCGTATTTATATATTCTGCGCTGTGCTCGTCGTTTTGTAGAAATACCCAAGCTCACCTGATGATGGGGTAGGGTCCCGAAACCGGTAGTGAGAGCAGGTTGATCCACATTATGACGAACACAGCGTGGAATTAATTTCTATATTAGCAGTTCAAGGCCAAGAAACTCTTATATAATTTTATTATATACCTAAAAACTGCACGAAATTTATTTTCCATTATATATTTTGGGCTAGCCGAAAAAAGCCTTAATTTACTATCGATAGTTGGGCCTCGGTGGTACGAAAGTACTACCATTGCACGCAGGCCGCTATCTCGTGATGCGGGACTTAATATCTTACCGCTACTTTCCGACAAGTCGTATTTATATATTCTGCGCTGTGCTCGTCGTTTTGTGGAAATACCCAAGCTCACCTGCTGATGGGGTAGGGCCCCGAAACCGGTAGTGAGAGCAGCTTGATCCACATTATGACGAACACAGCGTGGAATTAGTTTCTATATTAGCAGTTCAAGGCAAGAAACTCTTATATAATTTTATTATATACCTAAAAACTGCATGAAATTTATTTTCCATTATATATTTTGGGCTAGCCAAAAAAAGCCTTAATTTACTATCGATAGTTGTGCCTCGGTGGTACGAAAGTACTACCATTGCACGCAGGCCTCTATCTCGCGATGCGGGACTTAATATCTTACCGCTACTTGCCGACAAGTCGTATTTATATATTCTGCGCTGTGCTTGTCGTTTTGTGGAAATACCCAAGCTGACCTGATGATGGGGTAGGTCCCCGAAACCGGTAGTGAGAGCAGGTTGATCCACATTATGACGAACACAGCGTGGAATTAATTTCTATATTAGCAGTTCAAGGCAAGAAACTCTTATATAATTTTATGTCATATATATCGATAGGTGAATTGCGATACTTTTATTTTTGAGTTTGGCGTTGAGATTTGAAAACCGGTTTTGACTACCACACCGTTTTTAATATCAACACCGCTTTTAGATGAGATAGATGTCGGACAAAAACCAGTGTCGAGATCAACACTGTTGTCGAGATCAACACCGGTTGTGACTACAGGGATATGTCGTTTTATTAAACGACATGGATTTCTGGACGGAGTTTCTGGTTAGATTTACTAAGAATATTGATATTCGTACTTTTGAGTTGCTAAATGTATTATTTATATAATTTGATTTTTGTGACAGTAAACATTCAATTTATTGTTCAAATATATGCATTTTACAAAATAAATTTTTAAATTCAAATTTGGCGTGTGGACGCTAGGTCCTCGACAAGGATAGATAGAGTAGAAACAATGCGTGTGCAACAAAAAAAGAAGATTAATGGAAGTCGTTGGTATGTTTGCGACAGTTTCCATAGTGATTTACTTATCCACGAAGTATATGTGATCTAGGCTGGTAACCCATATTTGACAACTGATGTAAGCCTAACACTGGTTTACCGGGTTTTGGAACAGGCCTATTCTTATCTCTTTTGGACGCTCTGCATTCTACTGAAACCATCAGCGAGTCACATAATTTAATTAATGATTAAGTTTTGTTTCTGTAATTTTTTCTCTGTAGAAAGTTATGTTAAAAAACATTTGTCTCTCTTCCAGATTTTACAAATTCGGACTGGAAAGGCACAAGTACAGCGAGCGATATAAACCTCTTTTGAACCCGTTGTTTTTTCAACTTGCCATAATCATTCAGAAGAACTATCTTCAGGAGACATTCGACAAATATACTTCGCCCTTGAAAGAAACTGAATATAAACGCCGGAAGAATTGTATGTGCATTTTTTAACATTTTTTAATAAGTATCATTATAGTATAACTAACCTCACAGCTCTTAGTGATAAACTAGTTACTCCACTGGATTCTACGTGAAAAACTCTACGGAACTCAGTTTTCACTTTTTTGATATGTTATACAGGGTCCGGTAAAAGTGCGTCGGGCATCTGTAGCTCCTAGAATAAAAAAACTTGGGAATTTTGTTCAAGTGCAAACATAAAGTATGTACGCAACTAGTGGAATAAATTAGTGGTTTCAATTACCGTGGAAGTTTGTTTCTTTAATTTCGATGTAAACATTCGGAACGTCAAAATTAGTGGTAGACATTTTCAATTAGTAGAAAAAGTTACCAAACATTTAACTTTTCCATTAATTATACTTCAAAATTTGCCAGAAATGTCATTTTGGCATTTGATTATCTTCCGTCAAGAGAAATTGTGGTTGGAAATTAAAAGTTGATTGTTTTATAAGCTAAATATTAGGCTTTCTCTATGGATACAACTGACTAACGTAAGCTGTTCTTAAGATATTCTATTAATTTTAATTGTGTTTTTTAATTGTAGTAAATGATAGTAAGCTTTAGAACCTCGAAATCAGTAGAATAAATTAGTAGTTTCAATTAGCCGTAAAAGTTTGTTCTCTTAATTTTGACCAATGGATCGCATTGTGATCCGATTCAATTCTCACGATTCTTTTTTTACGGCTCATCGTCCAAACCTTATGGATCTGTGCTAGCCACGATTCAATTGATCTAACCGTATTGTAAGCAATGAATTAATTCTCACGATTCTTTGAATGAACGGATCGCATTGTGATTCGATTCAATTCTCACGATTCTTTTTTACGGCTCATCGTTCAAATCTTATGGATCCGTGCCCCCATGATTCAATTGAGCGAACCGTATTGCAAGCAATGAATTAATTCTCATAATTCTAATGGATCCGTGCTGGCTACGATTCAATTGAACGAACCGTATTCAAGCAGTGAATCGAATTACACGATTTTTTGAACGAACGGATCCCATTGTGATCAGATTCAATTCTCACGATTCTTTTTTACGACTAATGATTCAACTGAGCGAACCGCGTATTGCAAGGAATGAATCAATTCTCACGATTCTTATTTACGGCTCATCGTTCAAATCTTATGGATCCGTGCCCCCATGATTCAATTGAGCGAACCGTATTGCAAGCAATGAATTAATTCTCATGATTCTAATGGATCCGTGCTGGCTACGATTCAATTGAACGAACCGTATTCTAAGCAGTGAATCGAATTACACGATTTTTTGAACGAACGGATCGCATTGTGATCAGATTCAATTCTCACGATTCTTTTTTTACGGCTCATCGTCCAAACCTTATGGATCCGTGCTAGCCACGATTCAATTGATCTAACCGTATTGTAAGCAATGAATTAATTCTCACGATTCTTTGAACGAACGGATCGCATTGTGATTCGATTCAATTCTCACGATTCTTTTTTACGGCTCATCGTTCAAATCTTATGGATCCGTGCCCCCATGATTCAATTGAGCGGACCGTATTGCAAGCAATGAATTAATTCTCATGATTCTAATGGATCCGTGCTGGCTACGATTCAATTGAACGAACCGTATTCAAGCAGTGAATCGAATTACACGATTTTTTGAACGAACGGATCCCATTGTGATCAGATTCAATTCTCACGATTCTTTTTTACGACTAATGATTCAACTGAGCGAACCGCGTATTGCAAGGAATGAATCAATTCTCACGATTCTTATTTACGGCTCATCGTTCAAATCTTATGGATCCGTGCCCCCATGATTCAATTGAGCGAACCGTATTGCAAGCAATGAATTAATTCTCATGATTCTAATGGATCCGTGCTGGCTACGATTCAATTGAACGAACCGTATTCTAAGCAGTGAATCGAATTACACGATTTTTTGAACGAACGGATCGCATTGTGATCAGATTCAATTCTCACGATTCTTTTTTTACGGCTCATCGTCCAAACCTTATGGATCCGTGCTAGCCACGATTCAATTGATCTAACCGTATTGTAAGCAATGAATTAATTCTCACGATTCTTTGAACGAACGGATCGCATTGTGATTCGATTCAATTCTCACGATTCTTTTTTACGGCTCATCGTTCAAATCTTATGGATCCGTGCCCCCATGATTCAATTGAGCGGACCGTATTGCAAGCAATGAATTAATTCTCATGATTCTAATGGATCCGTGCTGGCTACGATTCAATTGAACGAACCGTATTCAAGCAGTGAATCGAATTACACGATTTTTTGAACGAACGGATCCCATTGTGATCAGATTCAATTCTCACGATTCTTTTTTACGACTAATGATTCAACTGAGCGAACCGCGTATTGCAAGGAATGAATCAATTCTCACGATTCTTATTTACGGCTCATCGTTCAAATCTTATGGATCCGTGCCCCCATGATTCAATTGAGCGAACCGTATTGCAAGCAATGAATTAATTCTCATGATTCTAATGGATCCGTGCTGGCTAGGAGTCAATTGAACGAACCGTATTCTAAGCAGTGAATCGAATTACACGATTTTTTGAACGAACGGATCGCATTGTGATCAGATTCAATTCTCACGATTCTTTTTTACGGATCATCGTTCAAATCTTATGGATCAGTGCTGGCCACGATTTAGTCGATCGAACCGTATTGTAAGCAATCAATCAATTCCCACGATTCTTTGAACGAACGGATCGCCTTGTGGTCCGATTCAATTCTCACAATTCTTTTTTACGGCTCATCGTTCAAATCTTATGGATCCGTCTGGCCACGATTCAATTGATCGAACCGTATTGTAAACAATGAATCAATTCTCAAGATTCTTTGAACGAACGGATCGCATTCTGATCCGATTCAATTCTCGCGATTCTTTTTTACGGCTCATCGTTCAAATATTATGGATCTATGATTCATTTGACCGCACCGGTATTGCAAGCAATGAATTAATTCTCATGATTCTTATGGATCCGTGCTGGCTACGATTCAATTAAACGAACCGTATTCTAAGCAGTGAATGGAATCACACGATTCATTTTTAATACTGAAATAAACAACTCGTTCAATCTTTGCCCACCTCTAATATTAACTATACTATACAGGGTGGCCCATCGAAATTGTTTCGCTAGGCATAACGGCCAGGGTAATTTTTTTTCAGAAAATTCAAAAACACGTCAATTTTGTTTGTGAGGGGGACAGCTTTTGCCCCAAAAATGATTGCAAAATCTTCAACCCTCTAAGCTGGGGTGTCATCCCCCAATTTTTTTCAAATGGGAAGGGGGGTCAAGTGGTACCGCAATGAAAAGGGCTGTCTATTCTCTATACTTTCCCGCTTCGTTTTTGCAAATCGGTCGAGTCATTGAGAAAATATGAAGGATTGAAATTTGAAAAGTTTATTTAAACATTTATCAGAGTAAATGATAAGGATAAATTCCTTCGACCAATTTGCTGTTTTTTTTTCTTATTATTTCTAGACGTTTACGCATTTTTTCACTTTCCACAAGGTTGAACGGTCAGGTGCAGGTAGTTGTTCTTTGACTTGCAGAAGAAGTGGAAATAATCGAACTTTATTTTAAAAATAATGAATGTGGCAATCGGTTTACGCAGATATTTAATGAACACCATCCTGACAAACACCTTTATGGCGAAATTGTTCGCGAGTTAGTAGCAAAATTTCGCGAAACTGGTTCCGTTATGAATAAAAAGAGGCAGAGGGAAAATCCTGTAGTATATGAAGCTATGGAGGTATTCGTATTGCGCCAAGTTGCCATGGATATTACGCTGAGTACAAGAAAATTAGCCAATGAGACCGACGTGAATCGTAAAAGCGTCCACCTGTACAAAAATAATTCTGTTGGTACAAGAACTCAACAAAGACGTTTTAAAATAAAGTAAAATAAAGTTTATTTTTAAAATAAAGTTCAATTATTTCCAGTTTTTCTGCAAGTGAGTACACCATTATTGTTAAAAAAGTTTAACGATATTAAGAATTTCAACGCACAAGTCAAAGATAACATCTATCTAGCAACTACCGCACCTGATCGTTCAACCTTGTGGCAAGTAAAAAATGCGTAAAAATCTAGAAATAATAAGAAAAAACAGCAAATTGGTCAAAGAAATTTATCCCTATCATTTACTCTGATAAATGTTTAAATAAACTTTTCAAATTTCAATCCTTCATATTTTCTCAATGACTCGACCGATTTTCAAAAACGAAGTGGGAAAGTATAGAGAATAGAAATCCCTTTTCATTGCGGTACCACTTGACCCCCCTTCTCATTTAAAAAAAATTGGGGGATGACACCCCCGCTTAGAGGGTTGAAGATTTTGCAATCATTTTTGGGGCAAAAGATGTCCCCCTCATAAACAAAATTGACGTGTTTTTGAATTTTTTGAAAAAAAAAATACCCTGGCCGTTATGCCTCGCGGAACGTTTTCGATGGGCCACCCTGTATCTACTTATATTACATTTCAGATAGCCCTTGGATGAAATTCATGTATTATATCATCCTAATGAAGAATTTAGCTTTCCAAACACTTTGCGTGCATTTTCAGAAAATTCTCCTTTTACTTGGATGGTTTGTCTGCGTTTACGATATGTGCGCGTTTAACATGGTCTTCGCCATTCTGCTCACCGTATCCTGCTTTAGCGGTAGAAACTTTGCATTCAAGATAATCTACATCATGTCTGCCTGGAATCAAGTGTTAATTGTACTAAGACTGCTTTATATGAACCTCTACACATCGCATAAGCAGTGGGACTATGTAGGACACTACGTGAGTATACAGGGTGATTTACGGCTATGGCAAATTAGACGTTTATTATTGAGGACCGGTGAATTCTTGCATAAAGGCACCTGCTCCATCTGTATAAATTATTTTCCGCATTACAGTGTTTGCGACTTCATACTAAGAATGGTATCATCTTTCTTATTTTAATTTTTCTATTATACCAACCTATACCAACGTCTAATAATTTTCAGGATAAAAAATAAAACATGTGTAAAATTGACAAAAATATGAACTTAATAAGCATTTGTTAAATTATAAATTCGGCATATAGAAAGTTGAAATTTGGTTTATATGTTAAGGAAAGTCGACATATTCGATCTGTCTAAATCAACCGTTTGGATATCCAATAGGGAGGTCAAAAAATATTTATTTCCGTTTGTTATAAAATACCTCAAATCATTGTTATTTTAAATTCAAGAAAATATTTTATTTTTAAGATAGTTTAGAAGAATTTGACAGTGTAATAGAGAGATATGGCAACGATATGCGGTATTAACGGAGGCGTTATTTTGGCAACTATGACTGTTTAAGTGTCATAATAAGCGTTTGTGCGCTATTAACGTTACCGCATGCCGGTATTTAGATGGAGAAGACGCCGTGCGGTAATGTGAGTTTCAGAACGTTATTTTATCAGTTGAGGACTGTATTTTTTAGAAAAATTGAGATAACTCTTTAAATTAAATTGTTAAATTGTACTCTTTTTAAAAAAAAAGTTTAAATTGTACTCTCCGGTTAAATTGTACTCTTTTTTAGACATACTTTCTTTTAGACACTAATTAAAACTCCTGGTATATTGAATAACAATTTTTTTTATAAAAATAAGGAAAAATTATGAATATAGATGCTCTTTTGATTGACAAATTCGGAAAACTAGATTAAGGCTAAATTTTTAAAAATGTTGGCATAATCGTTAAAATTAATCAACGCTATTTTGTATTACCCTAACTCGAAGTTCGACAAACGCAAATGTCAAAATAATGTCAGCGCTAATAGCAGAATTGCGGCAGTATTCGTCTTATCTCTCTAATATGTGTGATTTTATAAAATATTGTACATTAAGGCCAGTATTACAATATAAAATTTCTTTGCCAAAGATCTTTTATAAAGAATTTGGCAGCGTTAATATACAGGGTGAGTCAACGATAGAGTAAAGGCCAGTATCTCATTTGTTTCGAGGTTTACAGAAAAATGTTAAATACAAAAGTTATAGGGAAGGTTAAGATACACATTTTAAAATTATTATAGAGTATACAGGGTCCTTCAAAAATGTGTGGCGGATATAATATATGTTTTTTTAAATGCAACACCCTATTTTTTATTTTATTTTTAGATTCTGCGTAAAATTCTATAACTTTTTTTTATATATAATGTTATATACCTAAAGTTAATACTTTTTGTAATATTTAAATTTGTTTATACAAATGTTAAATTGCAATGTGGTAAAAAATTGTCAGTTGTACTATTGTTTCTGAAGTTAGAATACCAAAATTTATAAGATATATGTTAAGATATTTTAGTTAAATGCTACAGGGTGTTCAAAATATATTTATGAATTTCAACTACTTAAAATTAAAAAATCTGAAATTTTCTGAAATCCTATAAATTTTCATTTTTTCTGATAGATTTTGAAAATCTCTTCAACTTTTATTAAGTATGTCATATACCTATTTTTAATAGTTTGCGATTTATTCCATTTTTTTCTATTTTTACCCTAATTTTTAATACAATTACGCTATAACATCATAGTTACCGTAACAAAACAAACATATTTATTACTTATTTTTAATAAGTAGTTTAATAATCAGTTACAATTGTTATTATTAGTCAAAATCAACTAACTTTACTCAAATAAACTAAAATCGTAGTCGTGAATTTCTTGGTGTATTTCTATATTATGAAAGATGACATTTGGATTTTCCGTCGGGCCGAATAGCCACAGATTATGGTAATGCTAACTAGATTACCTAATTGTTAACGACTACTGATATTGAAATGTTCTCCGACATACAGTAAAGTTTTTGTTGTCGTACTAATTCTGGTTTATAATTCATTTCGTAAAGCCAATATTACTATTGCCACAAAACCGTCCCATTACACACTGATAATATTATAATATAATATAATATGAAAATGTTCTCTAGATAATCTACATCTATTCTTGTAGTACTTAGCAAAGTACTATATAATATATAGTACTGAACCAAAATGTATGTTTATTTTGGCTTGTTCGTGTATATCAGTCACATTGACTAATCCATTTTCAGGAAAATCTGAAACTATTACCTCTACCTCTAACATTTATACTTATTACAACAAATTAAACTAAAATTCACCTTTTGTTCTTAACTTGCTTAACAGACATATGAAATTTTGATAATAATTATTATTTTTGTCATGGTAACTATGATGTTATAGCGTAATTGTATTAAAGATATGGGTAAAAATAGAAAAAATTGGAATAAATCGCAAATTATTAAAAATAGGTATATGACATACTTAATAAAAGTTGAAGAGCTTTGCAAAATCTATCAGAAAAAATCAAAATATATAGGGTGTACCATTTAAAAAATTTTAGATTTTTTAATTTTAAATAGTTGAAATTTATAAATATATTTTGAACACCCTGTAGCATTTAACTAAAATATCTTAACATATATCTTCTTTTTAATCTCTATAGAATTCTCATACCAAATTTTGGTATTCCAACTTCAGAAACAATGGTACCACTGACAATTTTTTACCACACTGCAATTTAACATTTGTATAAACAAATTTAAATATTACAAAAACTATTAATTTTAGGTATATAACATTATATATAAAAAAGTTATAGAATTTTACGCAGAATCTAGAAATGAAATAAAAAATAGGTTGTTGTCTTTAAAAAAACATATGTTATATTCGCCACACTTTTTTGAAGCACCCTGTATACTCTATAATGATTTCAAAATGTGTATCTTAATCTTCCCTATAACTTTTGTATTTAACATTTTTTTGTAAACCTCGAAACAAATGAGATAATGGACTTTACTCTATCGTTGACTCACCCTGTAAAATATTTTATAAAATTACACATATTATACTGTCAAATTCTTTGATAAAATAAAATCTTTGACAAAATTTGATGTGTAACGTGTAATGTGTCTACAACCTAACCTAACACTGTCAAATTTGTATTAAAATATATTTATAAAAGATCTTTGACAAATTTGATAGTCTTATTTTAATCCTTTTGGTAATTTGACTCATCTATGAGGATCTAAGACAGTGGCCTCCAAAGTAGTCCAGATAGTTAAATCTAATGTTTATATTTTTTGACAAGTTTCGGGAATATGGTAGAATTGTATCAGTGGAGGGTATAATGTAGAATGAGTGGGAGAGGAGTTAGTAACCGCGACCATTTGTTTGCTTATGTTTTGTTAATACATGATCGTGACTTATTTAAAACTAACAGCACATTAATGGCGGCAGATTTTTTTATAACATGTTTGTCAGATACATCAAAATTGTGATAATTAAAAACTTATAGCTTAATATAAGCTGTTTCATTAATACCTAAGTATAAGCTAAAGGGGTTTATCCCCTTTTTTGGGAGTGTCTAGCTTGTCTTGTTGTCCCAGACCCCTGACTGTAGTGTCACTGGCCACGACACCACAGGCAGGGACAACACAGCGAGATGCTCCTTAGACCCAGTCAAAGGGCTAGAGGGGATTCCACCTGGCACCACCTAGAAGCTTTCCCACCAACGCGACAACGACAAGATCTCGCATCCCCTAGGGGAAGCAACAGGGGTCCATCGAAACAAGTAATATTAATTATTAAATAGAAAACAAATTTCTTGCAGTATAGGTATACAGGGTGCTACAAATTGGAGGTACGAGCATTGGTATCTCGGTAACCGTAATAGATACGAACATGGTTAAATTGGGGCAAAGTTGCGCTCTGGGATGTTCACCAAGAAGCCATTAAAAAAGTTTAAAAAATGTCAAGGATTGCTGAGTTTTTTGGAAAAATCTGATTTTTTTGAAAATCAATTTTATTTTTTCCTGTCGTTACTTTTTAGAAGATCAAAAAACTAGTTGCACATTCTCATAGCCACTTTATTAGGGCTATCTGATAGTATTCTTAGATTTTCAAATTAGCTTATAATTTGACACTTATAATTGGACCTGCACTTTTTATTTCTGATTTTGAAAGAACTCGGTCTCTTGAGTACAATGATATTCCACACTTAATTTTTTTGTTTTGGCATTTGAACACAATTTATTTAAACTAATTTCCGGCTCTGTTATTTTTTAATATTTAATCTATTCATCGTTACAATATTGATAAGCTTTCAAACTTAACAATGACGTGGGGTAAAACATTGAATACGGAAAATCAAATAAAAATAATTAATATAAATATAATATAATATAAACAATCAAATCATTTTCCGGGAAGATGGATTGGAAATGGTAGAGTAGTACAATGTCCAGCGAGGTTCCTGGACCTATCGCCAAAAGGCTACATTATTTGATGTCATTTGTAAAAGTAAAATCAATTCATCTCAATATTTACAATAAAGAATACAAAATGCATTCGGAAGTATAAGAAGAAAGTTCAAAGAGCTATAAATAAAATAGAGCGAAAAATAAATTTGCGCAATAGGGAGGGTGGTAACCTTTTCGAGCATGCAGAACATTAGAAACTAGATTGTAGAAGTTGATTTATTTATAATAACTACGATTAATAATATGCATGTTATGCATCTGAAATTTCAAATTCACAATAAAAAAGTTAAAAATAATATCTTTAAATTTTCTGACCTGGATATTATTTATTTGAATCTTCCAATTGGCTCGATTTTCCTGATTCAATGTTAATTAGGGCTCATCAATATTGTTGCAGTAAATATAATCAGATTAAATAATTTAAGAAACCAGAGTCGGACTTGAAATTTTAAATAATAATTAAATAGTTTTGCTGCTGTTAAGATCTCCAAAACAAAAAAAGTATAAAGTATGGCATATTATTGTATTCAGGAGACCGATTTCTTTCAAAGCATGGAATAAAAAATGCAGGTCCGTATTTAAAAAAACAAAGTTGATCCCTGTATCTCACAAATTATAAGCTAATTTGAAAATCTAAAAACACTATCAAATAGCCCTAATAAAGTAGCTATGAGAATGTGCAATTAGTTTTTTGATTTTCTAAAAACTAACGACAGGAAAAAATAAAATTGATTTTCAACAAAATCAGTTTTTTTCCAAAAAACTCAGCAATCCTTGAAATTTTTAAAACTTTTTGATGGCATCTTGATGAACATTCAAATACGGCAACTTTGCCCCAATTTAACCATGTTCGTATCTATTACGGTTACCGAGATACCAATGCTCGTACCTCGAATTTGTAGCACCCTGTATAATAAAATTATATAAGGATCCTTGCCACTTAACTGCTGATATAAAAATTTAATTCTACGCTGTGTTTGTCATAATGCGGATCAACCTGCTCTCACTACCGTTTTCGGAGCCCTACTCCATCATCAGGTGAGCTTGAGCAGATCCACAAAATGACAACCACAGCGCAGAGATAGTTAATTCCGACTTGTCGGAAAGTGTCGGTTAGATATTAAGTCCCATTATGACAAACACAGCGTAGAATTAAATTTCTATATCAGCAGTTTAAGTGGCAAGAATCCTTATATAATTTTATTATTAATTATTAATTATTAATTAATGTTTTTTTTGACAGTGTCCTACAAGAAAAAAAAAATTGATAACCTTTACTCTAAGGCATAGAAAATATGCATACATCTCTATAGATTCAGAGTTTATCCTTATCCGTTAATTAGTAAGAGAAATCACCGTCAATTACAATTCACTCACTGATATACGTGGGGATATATTTTGTCTAATTGTAATTGATATGCGTATACATATACATCCTTAGTATTTTTCCAGACTAGAAACGGAATTGAGTACAATATTACCCTAAACAATGCCAAATGGCTAGGTTTTCAAGAATCCAGGCTCGGGTACCGCTATGCTGACTTCTATAACGTAGCTTGGTCGTTCCTGTTCGTTGCCGCTGTCACTTTGTTTCGCGTGGTGCAAATAAGGCAGGTTAACTACCGACTGGCGAGAAACCTACCTACCAAGAGACCAGACGTTATATTCCCAGGCATCGACTACGAAAATTGTCACTACAGCTCCTGGAATATGATGAAGTATATTGCCAATTTTGGATTTTATAAGTTGGGAGTTGAGGTAATAGTATATTACATACCGAGGAAAGAAGTGTTTCATTTCATTCATTGTCAAGAGATTAACTAAATCTCGAGACAATAATGCAAACTTTCCTCCGAGGTTTGTATACTATTTTATTTACAACCACATCATTAATGAAAAATAGGGACAGTATTTTATTTTGAAAAAAACATAAATATGCGAAAATTTGTCGTTTTCTGTTTTGGCATTTTCATATCTATAGTTACCAGTACCAGTGGTTGTTATGGTGCAAACCTTCAACCGCAAAACAAACAAATAAGTTACAGTTTTGAATTTCTCGTTCGCTTTTTCGAATTTATATAACATAGAAAGCCAGAATGTTGTCGGAAAGTTCTGATAATAAAAACTACTTTAATATTTGTACTCCACCAGAACTTACAGAAGCTGCAAAAAGAGCAGAAGCCAGTTTACTTCCAGAGAAAAGTAGGGGGCGATATGAAATAGCATTGAAATTATACGAAAAATGGTATGCCGAAAGAAATGCTAAGAATATTGCTTCGGAGACAGTCTTGATGACAATCTACTCTTTGGGCTACGTACAGCATGATACGGACAATGCTAGAATTAAGGGAGAAGACTGACATATCAAAATATAACAAACTCGACGCTTTTTTAAAACGCCAGAATGTAGGTTTTAAGCCAAAGAAGTCTAGCATTTTTACCAGGTAAAACTTTTGGAGGATTTTCTCACGAAAGCACCTCAAGAATTCCTTCCTATGAAAGTAAGGCTTTCTTTTAAATATTTTCTTTTTCTGTTTCTAAATATTTCTTTTCATTGTTTTAGTTGCGCTTATAGTAGGTGTGTCTGGGGCATGTCGATGTAATGAGCTACTGAAGATGAAAACTACGCATATTGATATTTTAGAAAACAAAATTTGCATAGAAATTCTCGATACAAAAACTTATAAGAGCAGATCATTTATGATAACTAACACAAGTTGGATAGAAATTGTGAAAGAATTTATACAGTTACGAAAAGATATTGAAAATGAGAGATTTTTTGTTCAATATCGATTAGGAAAAGCTCGAAATCAACCCTTTAGAATAGAATAGAATGTTTAGGAGGGGAGTTACTCACCGCGACCTTAAAGATCTATTGTGTGTTCCCCTTTCTTGAGCTATAACGAGTTATAACTCATCATACAGTCTCAAGGCTTTAACAAAAGCCAGTATGTGAGACGGCTCCATAGAGGCCAGCTCTCCATCCTTGACATCAGCCGTACCAAAGTTCATGGCACGAATGGTCGTCGTCTCGGCGCACTCAGTGATGAAGTGTTCTGGTGTTTCCCCATATTCCCCACAGAATCTGCATTCGCCGTTGTTTCTCAGCTTCAGCCTACTGAGGTGTTCGTTGAGGAGACAGTGTCCTGTTAGAAACCCCGTGATAATCCGAAGATTGTTTTTACTTAAATCAAGGAAAGCCTTTGATTTTTCTCGGTCTTAGGTTCTGAGGAACTTTTTTGAGTGTCTTAGACCGTTGGAAGACACCCATTCTAAGTTGCGGTTGGAGTCTTCCAGATTCTTCAGTTCCACTTTCAGCTGGTTTCCGCTTGGAAAACAGAACGGTTCTGGTCCAGTTAGTTGAGTGTTCGCTCCTTTCCTAGCTAGATCATTTGCTTTTTCATTGTCTTCTATCTCTTGGTGAGCAGGCACCCAGAGTAGGAGGACTTTATTTTCTTTGCCCAACTTGTTGAGCTTCTCTAGGCATTCTTTGTCCAACTTCGAATTGATGGTTACTGAGTTGATCGCGTTTAGTGCTGCATGACTATCGGATAGGATGGCAATCCTGTTTTCGATAGTTCCTGTCTAAGATAAATTGTACACATCTTTCGATAGCGTAAATTTCTGCCTGAAGGATACTGGGGTAGGTGCCCATTGGTTCGGAGTATTTGGTTTTCGGCCCAAATACTCCTATCCCTGTCCCTGCTTTGGTTTTGGAAGCATCAGTATACCACGTTATGGTATGGTCTTCTATATGCTGAGTAAGCGTTTCTTCCTTCCAATCCTTTTTATTACTCAATACTATAGTGAGGTGTTTCTCAAAGTTGTAAATTCTTGGTATGTCATCCACTGGGAGTTGGAGAAGTGGAATTTTCTTTTTGAGGGTGTTCCAAGCCCCTGACCTAAAAATTCTCCCAGTACTGTTTCCGTCTATGACCATTCTAATCATTGTCGTATTGGCATAACTACCGACGACAATATGCAGTGGTGTTAGGTCTAAAATGACCTCCATTGCTGCTGTTGAACATGTTCTCATGGCACCTGTGATACAGTTACATGCCAGTCTCTGTACTTTGCACAGGTTTTGCCTTGCTGTACGTTGCTCTAGTTTTGTATACCAAGCAACTGCTCCATATGTAATCATGGGTCTTACTATCACGGTATACATCCAGCGCAAAATTTTTGGGGCGCAGCCCCACCTATTTCCCGCCAGTGTTCTGCATATCATGAGAGCCTTTGTGGCTTTGCTGGTAATGTTCTTAATACGCCTGTTCCAGAGAAGTTTACTATCCAGGGTTATTCCTAGATATTTCACTTCCTGTGATGGCAGTATTTCTTTTCCATCTAGATGGATTCTTTTCAAGTTTTTCAAACTTCGCTTTCTGGTGAATGGTAGAACCGCGGTTTTATCTGAGTTGATACTCAGCCCGACAGTCCTGCACCATCTCTCAGTGATGCGGAGTCCTCTTTGGATAATATCACACAGGGTGCCTTCATGTTTCCCCCGTGCAATCATGACTATGTCATCTGCATACCCTATGCAGTGTATTCCCGCTAGAGTTAATTCTTCCAGTAGTTCATCCACTACCAAGCGCTCCACAGTAGGGGGGTCACTCCAACTTGTGGAGTTCCTTGCGTTGTTTTAACAACCACAGTTTTGGTACCTATCTCAGCTTCTGCTGTTCGTGTTGAGAGCATTTCCCAAAACCAGCGAATTATCGTATTGTTCACCCCTCTTGTTTCAAGAGATCGCTTGACCACCTTGTGAGGTATATTGTCAAACGCCCCTGCAATGTCCAAGAAGGCACAAAGTGCTGTTCAACCCTTTGGATACAATTCTACTTCTAAATTTCCGTACAAAATTGCGAGCTTTTTCAAACTTCCCAATGCGAAAACCTACACAGGTCATGTTTTTAAACGAACAGTGGCTACGTTGCTGGTAAATAGCGAAGCTGATATTTTACAACTGAAGCGTCTAGGGGGATGGAAATCCAGTGCTGTGGTTGAGGGTTATGTGGATGCATCTGTAGCCAATCAAACTAAAACCGCAAATATGATATCTTCAACGACATCGTTGCCATCGTCTTCCTGTAGCAATTCAAACTCTTTACCATCTTTCGTTGATATTAGAAGATCTGGCACAAGTCAGGAGTTAAGTTTTTACAGCATGAAAAGTTAGAGTTATGTTTTTACAGTGAAACCTCCATGAGTGAAACACATCATCAGGGCGGCCCCTTAACAATATCGATTAACGCGTACAATAAGTAAAATTTGACCATTAATTTCAACAAATAAATGTGTTAAATTATTATTGTTAATCTTCCTGTTTATTTTTGTTGATGTTAGATAAGTATTTATTAAAGATATTACAAGAATATTTTGCTTAATTAAATGAGGCGAGAAATAAGAAAAACCGCGTGAGGAAAATGGGTGAGGGAAATGGAAGAGGGAAGAAATGTAGATAATTTGACACTTTCAAATTTTTTAAAAGTCAGTAATGTCAGTATTACATATGTGGTTGTAAATAAAGGCATTTGTTAATTTGAAGAAAACGTTTATTAAATATAACTTCAAACTGTTGAATTTTATAGGCCTCTGAAGAATTAATATCTATAAGATATGGTGCACTCGGTTAAACTTACACAAAATTAATTTACACAGTACAAAAAGTTTTTTGTTCTTTTGAATTTATTAAATTATTTTTCATATACAGGGTGTTTCAAAACACATGTACCATCTCTCGTTGGAAGATTCCTCACGTAAAAATAAGATCTATTTTTCATATCAACAAGGGGTTTTTATATCAACCTAGGATTCTGCTTCGTTTCGTAGCTACAGGGGGTTAAAGTTTTTTTTCGATTTTTTATAATTTTCTTCCAAATGCTTTTAGCGATTCGAATGAAATTTTGACGATAAAAGTTACTATAAGTGCGACATATTTTAATGCTAAAAAGTATTTACATATTCACCAGCGACACGTGCATATGGATTATTACTGGAATTTTTTTCTAGGACAAATATGTGCGCTATTGACTTTTTTCTCTTGTTGGCAGAATTGTATAGACCGTTAAATGCTGATTAAAAGTTTTATCTTGATATTTTGTCGATTTCAGTCTCCTTGATGAGATAAAAGCAATTTAATTAATTTGCCCTAATCCAATTCTATAGCAACCTTTAAAAAAGTTTACGTTAAACGAGAATGTCAAAATTTGACATATAATATGTCATTCTATTCAGAGTGTCATTTTCTATCGAATAAAGCTTAAAAATACACAGGGTGCTATTTAAAAATCAAAAGTTGTAAACATTTCCGGTGAAACAGGAGGTGACCGAAAACAATTAAATAAATAAATAAATAAATAAATGCCTTTATTGTCAAAAATTTTTTCAATTTGTGGACAAAGGTAAACTAACAAACAAAGTAAAAAAAAACAAGGTACACAAACAAACAAACAAAAGATAATACAAAACATTATACAAATAATTGAATACGTCAATCAATCCTAATTTATGTTATAGGGGTAAGCCACTTTTGAGACACACGCGGTATAGCAAAATGGTGCAACTCATATATTAAACCAGTGTTGGCTACAAATTGCCAATATTGGGCCCATATACAATATTCTACCAATATAAAATCAGTGTTGCGTCTATATGGTGTGCTATTGGGGTAGGCCCAACATCTTCTAACACACTTTTTTTTTAATTTTTAATGATAAAATTTGTTTACTATTTTTCAGATCAGTGCGGTAGTTGCTAGCATAGTATTATTTATTAGGATGGACGTATTCTCAATTCTAATATCCCTAATTTTAATTGGAATGTGTACAGTTAAGAGAAAATACAAAAGAATGGTTTGGTATTTAATCCTAATCGGGATGGCTATTCTGTTACCTTTCCAATACTTTATGACATTAGGAATTTGTCCTGCGTATTGGGATAGTAAGTATATTTTTAGAATCATATTTAGTCACTCATGATGCTAAAACTTAAAAAAAAACCATCAAATCATATATTATTTTATTCATTAGATGTAAAGAAACCTCTTGTAGTTATGATTAATTGAAATACCATACGATCGAAAAAAAACCGGCGTCAGATATGGTCGGAAATGAAGATTTTATACAGGGTGAGTTTTCTACGATGACCTCTATGGGTATCTCGGAAACTAATGGAGATAGAGAGTCGGTTAAATAGGGAAAAAATTGCAGTTTTGTAAAGTTAAAAATATGCACCTTTCGGATTTTTGAAAAAAATTATGACTTACTAGATATTTCGAAAACAAAAATTTTAAAACTATTAAAAGGCTATTTTAAAAATGGTCCCTAATTCCATTATAATCTATTTTAGACAAAAAGTTATCACATAAAAGTTGTAGATAATCTCTCTAATCACATCCTTAATGAAATTGTGTTTTTTTTTTATAGTCTGTCATTTTTAGCATATGACACAAAGAGATGTTTTTTTTTTCTCAAAAAAATTCTATGGGTATTTTGCCCAATGTAAGAAAATCTACAAAATAAAATATTTATTTTTTGGAAACACTGCTGCGTTAATCCAAAGAAGACAAGGGTTTATTAATTAACAAATTTGCCTAATGGACAAAAAAATGCTTAACGTTTCGGGAAGTATGCCTCTTCCCGTCGTCGCAAGCAGAAAAAACACAAAGAACAAAGAAAAAACTATTTATAATATCTAAATGCAACTATTCGAGAACACTTCAGTTTTTTTAAACAGATACGTCTATAAAAACAGTTACAGACGTTCTGTTAAAATGACATATCAATTTAAACTTCAATTTCTTTTTATGTTATGTTCTTCTTTTAAATCAAAGAAGCGATTGCCAAGCATTAGTAATATCTACAGATGCATGAGCAATACATTTATTTTTATTAGATTGTATTAAAAAAGCCTCTTTTTTTCTTTTAAGCCTAGTTCACACAGCGAGTAATTTAGTCGAGTAGCGAGTAATTTAGTAATGTAGTGTGTGCGGCCAGTACAAATTAGTAGAGTAGTTTAGTGTAGTAGTTTAGTCGGCTGGATCCATCCGATTCTATTTTGACGGTCGAGTAGAGTCCCCCACCATGTGCTACTAACTACTAAATTGCCACTAAAACAAATATGAACACGAGTGTTTAGTTCATTGTTTAGTTAAGTAGGTACATTAGTTGACGTTTCTAATATTCTGATTGCATTACAGTATTCTGCAGGATCTTCTAATTGCAACTCTTGTAAAATACCAATTGAAGCCTCTAACGATTCTCTTTTATTGATCCATTTTCTGACCCATAAACGCTTTGGTTTTTCAGATATTTCTTCTTCAATTTATTTCAAAATGATATTTATTATGTTTTTTATAACAATGTCTTTGTTTATAACCTTATTTAATTCCGTATGACGCCTTTTCTTATCCATTTTAACAGTTTTGACATCACTATTGCACTACTAAACTCAATTTCATAACTGGTCTGAACGATAATCTGTAAGTGGGTACTCGCTACACGACTAAATTACTCGTTACTCGACTAAATTACTAGCCGTGTCTGAACCAGGCTTTAGAGACTATCGCTTCTTTCATTATAATTTTTGCGTTTTTAAAATCTACTCTGTGCCCTGTGTCCATATGTGCCATATGTTTTTTTAATGGAAACTACATAAATAGTTGCCCATGACTTCGTTAAAAACGTCATTTTTAAAGCTTTTCAGCGATATCAGTTATAATAATTTTTTTTCGAAAAATTACCGAGTTATAGCCAATTAGTTGCATGGTATTCTTATTCTATTATGATTTATAATTTATGAAATTACAGAATATTTTATTAAATGGTTCTTTATTTTTTAGATTAAACAAATTAAAACTTAAAAAACTAATATCACTAGATACACTTTAAGTTATTTTAACCTCGATTTTAACAATATATTCAAAAAATCCGCCATTGTTTTGAGTACATAAAATGCCTCATTTCAAAACTGAATTAAAAACTTTTCTCACAGAACAGCGATAATTATTAAACTTCTCCCGTGCCGCTTCTTCAAGTGCCTCTCTTGACTCAAGTTCTCTTGTAAACCGTCTTGTTACCATACCGCATAATAAAACGGATAGGTCAGGTGACCAAGAGAGCTCATGCATTTGGTCCACCTTTTCCTACCCCTGAGGTTACATAATTATGATATAAATAATTTTTATGAGGAAGAGCATCGTATTAAAAGTCATATGTTTTCTGATGTGAATCCTTTTCTCCATTTGAAAAATTATTCATTTGAAAAGCGTTTAATCCTTGTCCCTTGTGCATACGTGTTGAACTACAATGTGTAAACGTAACATATTATAAGTAATAATACCATAATAATATCGTAAGCACAACGTAAATGTGATTTTCAAAAATCCGAATTTTCTTCACCATTTGACCGACCCTCTCGCTCCAGTAGTTTCCAAGATACCCATAGAGAACATCGTAGAAAACTCACTCTGTATATTAATAAACTTTATAATTAAATATATCTGCTACATTTTTCAATATACAGGGTGGTCTGAACTGTATAACGAAAACTTCGGTAGCATATTCTGCAAATAAATAGAAGTAAAAAAGTTCTTCTAAATGTATGTCCTAAAATGCTTAATTTCGGAGATACAGGGTGTAGAAGTTAAATTTTTATTTCGATTTTTTCCAAATAATTTCTGAAGTAATATCAATATTCGTATGAAAATTGGTCTCTGGTAGTTTTTTGACATGAGAAATTTGATTTTGATGCCATTATGACTCCTTTTTGTAGAGGACGCCACCTACATGTGATTTAACTGTTTTGAAGAGTATATGACTTTTTGTCCGTACCTGTATATAACTACTGTGTAAAAAAATATACATTTTCGTAACTTTCTACGTAAAAATGTCTCTTGGTAAAAATCGTTACGAGCAACCCTTCTCGAAATATTTAAAATGGTAAATACATGTCATTATTGGACAAAAAAATAAACATGTTGAGTAGATAGTTATTTGACTGAAATAATAAATTTGGGAAATTTTTATTTTAAATTAATCATGAAATTTTCTTCGAAAAAATGATGATTGATGATGATTTGACATTAAAAATATTTCAAATTTATGATTTCAGTCATTTAACTCCTTAGCCAACATGTTTAATTTATGTCAATGATGACAGGTATTGATAAATTCGATTTCAAATATCTCGAGAACTATTACTCGTAGCGATTTTTATTAAGAGACTTTTATTACGTTAAAAACGTCGTAAATGTATATTTTTTACTTAGTAGTTTTATACAGGTACGAACGAAAAGTTATTACTCTTCAAACCAGTTAAAAATATGTAGACATGTAGGAGTAATATTGACATCAAAATCAAATTTCTCATATCAAAAAACTCGCAGACACCAAATTTCATCCAAATATTGACGTTACTTCAGAAATTATTTGGAAAAAATCGAAATAAAAATGAAATTTCTATACCCTGTATCTCCGAAACGAAGCCATTTTAGGACATACATTTATAAGAACTTTTTTACTTATTTTTATCTGCAGAATATGCTGCCGAAGTTTCCGGAATACAATTCGGACCACCTTGTATATTCACTATATTTTTCACTACAATTTTCATTATATTTCTGATAGTATCCTTGACAAGATATTGGAACGAAAATAACACTAGACTGCGACTGCAACAGTTTCTGAACCAAATGAACTTGGTGTACCCACCAAAAGCTATGCTGCTACTCTTCGACTTTGCATTATTCATGTGCGTGGCCAGACAATGGAGGGCCTTTAAGACCGAGAAAAAATTTGCCCAAAGAGATTTCCCTGGTGGAAGTAACGAAGAAGTTTATCATTTAATTGACGACCCGACTGTCGTCAATCCTGTGCCAGATTATGTCAGTAATACCAGGTAATTATTACTTATTATGTATAATGGTATACAGGGTGACCCAGGCTTCCAAAAAATCTTTATATTAAGTTTTTAGTTTAAGATTTTCATTTGATTTTTTTTAAGTATTGTGGGGCGCACATTTTGAAAACATTTTTGTTATAATACAGGATAATTCAAACATATTTTCAAGCTAAATTTGCATATTTTTAAATGGCATACGATGTACGTATATTTTTACCTCACTAGATTTGTCATTAAATTTCTATTCCAAAAATACCATAATGTTTTATATTCAGACCGAGGGGTGTCTCACTTGGGTAAAAAATGTACATGTACTGCCAAAATATCATGTTACTCGCAAGTGACTGCCAATGACTGCGAAGAAGAGTGCCTATGACTGCCATGTAATTATTATAGGCGACTGCCGTAAGACTGCCAATGACTGCCAGCGACTGCCAAGAAAATGTACATGTAATTCCAATAGTGAGACACCCCTCGATTCAGACCCAGCGGTTTTTGTAAGTAAAATATTAAAATAGGGAAGTAAAATGGATTCTAGATGCTAAAAATCTCGAAAACTTTAGATTAAATATTAATAACTAATATCGTAGAGACACCTGCTAGTTTAAAATTCAGATATTTTCGGACATTTCCTCTTAAAAAGAAAGATGTAATCGTGCTTAAACAAATTATGAATAAATTGAATATAAGGTGTTATTTTTACACTCGTTTGACGCCAATGGAAAAGATAGCTTAAATATTGATAACTAAGATTTGATTTGATTTGATTTGAACTAATATCCTAGAGTCACCCGCTAATTCAGAATTCAGATTTTTTTGAAATTTACTGTCAAAAATAAAGTGGCGATCGTGATAAAACAAATTATGAATATACCATAATTACTTAAACAGACTGGAAACTCCAGCTATAATCAAATATACAGGTACCTAGTACCCCAACTTTTTGGGTACAATCAACACACATATGAGTGGATTGCTTTATTCGTACAGGGTAATTTAGGCTTCCGCAAAAGCTCTATATTAAGTTTTTGATTTGTAAATTTCATTTGAATTTTATTACATAATATGGGAGCAATGGTAACGCACTTTCTGAAAATATTTTTGTCAACATACAAGGTGATTCAAACATATTTTCAAACCAAAGTATATTTTTTAATGGAATACTATACATTTTTTAACTCACACAGTGGATTTACCATTACATTTCCATTCCAAAAATACCATAATGTCATATATTAAACTAAATTTACTGTTTATTTACAGCCCTCCCAAAGTTCTAAATTCGATTAATTTTACACTGTTTTAGCTGGAGATACTTGTATAATAGTTTTTTTTTGTTAAAATTCAGTTTACCAATATACTCTTCTTTTTCTCATTCTTCGACAGACGATGACAGAAAAAAAAGCAAATGCCGTCCATACCAATACATTTATTTCACTAAAAAAAGTTTCTAATATTTTTTAAGTTATCTATGGATAGGTTGATATATAAATCCGTCATGCGTCATCTCTTGTTGTGTTTAAGCAGTTTTATTGTTTTTTTTTTCAAAAATGACATCATATTTCAATATTATTGGTTTGACGAAACGATGAACGACAAACGGACGCCCATGCGTATGAACTCGACTTTGAGAGTTGTCAAACTCTTGCCAAATTATAGGTTATAATTTTGTGTCAAATTATGTCAAATAGATATGATAAATATTTTGCATTTTGCATTTTGGACTGTGTTATTACGTGTGTTTCGTGTTTTTTAACATTAAGTAGAGGAAAACTTGAGGGAAAATTAAGTGTTGACCCAGACCATTGAGGGAAAATTAAGTGTTGACCACCAAAGATACAGTTTGCCAGATACTATGACCCGAGAGTTGTATTAGTGACAAACAAAATTTGTATACCATCTCGTATATGGTACCAAAAACTGGAGTATCTTTAAAATAACATCACACGATAGGTAAATAATAAATTTTAGTACTACAGAGAGATAATGTCAAACGATACTGGTTTAAAAAAAATAAGGTTAAAGTTAATTAACCAACTTTTAAGGTATAAAATTCAATAAGTGTTATTATTAATAAAATATTTTGTTTTATTTATTCTTTTGCCATATTAAATAAAATAACTGGATTAGATTTCTTCAGTTTTATACAGTTTTTTTTAATATTTTGAAGTAGTCACTTGTCACTCAAACTTTAAATTTTCTGCTATGCGTTCCAATTGTACCAACTTATTTTTTTGTAAAATAAAATAAACAACTTTGAAATTAAAATGACAGATATATCTATCACTGTTAAGGATTTTGTCTTTGGACAGACTATATTTGCAAGCTTGTTTGTATACAGGATGGGTCTAAACTAAATGCTGGATATGTCTCCATTATTTTAAATTGGTTCCGTCTATTTTGTATTATAGTCGAATGAAGTTTCCCTTTTTTTCATTAAGATTAACATGAACAGATTAAAAGCTCACAACTGAACTGAAACTGAAACTGGTAGTGTAAAAGTATATTAAGGTATAAAATAACCGACTGTGCAATGATTTATTTGTCACCCTGGTATAATTCCTTAATTAATTTTCAGAACTTCACTGGATATCTACAAGTACGTTATTTTTTCGAGCTCGTATTATGTGTCGCTGTTGTTTACGTTCCTGGCGGGCACCATGCGACCCACCTTCTACTCCTTTGGTTACATTCTATTCGCGTCGATGCTGGCGTGGGAAGGACGGGATATGTTTCTCAGACCACCTAAAGGCATTATTTTCAGGTAAGCAAAACCGGAAAAGTGAAACAACTCTTTTAAAGGTGCTCACTTACACGGAAAAAAGGAAATATACACACTGCAAGAAAATCTACAAAATAAAATAGTTATTTTTTGTAAACACTTAATCGCGTTAATCTGGAAACTTGTAGCATTAGAAGTTATAAAAAAATGATGGAATGTTTTTTTTTTATAAGAATTTTCTTTTAGAAAAAATATTGAAACAACTAATACTATGCGACGGAGCTGTTCGCCGGTGAGCAATGGGTCGTAAGCTAGTGAAAATTAAATTGTGATAATTACGTCTTTATAATATACTGGGCGCCACTCAGTTTTCCATTTACTTTCAAAAACTTCTAAGTTGAGAACTGAGAAATCAACTCAGAATATAGGTATTACTTATTTTAAGAATTACACAAATGAAACGCTGAGATAAACTAACAACTAAGTATAATTAATAATTAAATATTAATTAGAATAAAATAAGACTATGAATAATTTGATGTTTGAAAATGTTGGTTGGTAAATAGTATGTATTAAAATAGATCACTCAAGATGGTAGTTAAATCTGCACGCTTCTGAATACTAATATTTTATTAATTATTCCGCAAAAAGTCTGGCGATCTTGGTACCAAAATATAGGGACTCTTTATATTAAAAAACCGTACTATGTATATATCAGAAATATGCATAACATGAATAAAATATTTCAAAGTGACTCTAAAGTAATAAAATATCTAATATGCCTGAAGGGCTTGAAGCATTAAAGTGAACTTAAATTATATAAAAAGAAATGATCTGGCCTTTTATATCCGTTCTGGTCACAAGCTGGTTGTGGTGAACTGCTGGAACTGGATCGTGATTAAAACGTGTCCACCCAGACAGGATCGGAAAATGCTGTATATTCAGGAGATTCCTCAGTTATTCAACGTGTATATTGTAGGGACAAACTATTGGCCCAAATGTCCAGATACAATAAACAAAATGGCACCAGAAATGCGTACCATAAAATAAAACCCTGTACAAATAGAAAAAAGGTATTAGGAAACGTTATGTAAAAAATAAAGGTCTTACCTCCTCCGCTCAGAGGGTTTTCCCACACAAATTTCAAAAATGCCAAAAACGCCGATAATTCTATCGGGTTCAGCTTCAACCACCAATATAGCGATAAAGGTAGGCACGAGGTATATACCTATACCGTCAGAAATAAAGTGACGAACAACTTCGACCGGACTGAAATAACTATCCAGAAATAAACTTGTAAAAAAATAAAAGATAATAACAATACTTAGAATGCCATCTCGGTGCGAGGACTCAAACTTGAATTGTTTAAATAAAATAATTCTGTACATTTATTTAAATTGTGTGAATTTTAAATAAAATGCTACATTGCCTCTCTCCAAAAAGAAAAAATTAAAGGCTGTACAGACTTTAAATTTTTTATGAGAACAAAATGTTCACCTAGATCATTATTCAAACAATCCACCAAGAAACATCATCAAAAATAAATGGTGAGAAAATAAAACAAACCAAGAAAGAGCTTTAGATAACTACTGTACTAAAGACTATAGGAACTACTGATTAAAGAAAAATCCTAAACTACGAAAGAAACCATTATCCAATGATAATAGCTTAAAGAAAGAAAATAAAAACAATATTCAGTAGTCATTCAGTTATTTTAGCTTCGATAGCTACGCGTATCACTCGTCCACCAAGGAGTCAAAATAGATAGGTCAAAATCGGGTTAAGTTAAAATCGGGTTAAGTCAAAATCGGTAAGTCTACTAAAAAACTGGATAACACAAAACTACAACTATGAGTTATAAAGTAAGCCTGAAGGCTAGAGGTAATATAAGAAACCGCTATTCCAAGAGAATAGTGAAAACTTATGTAAAAACAAATTACCGCTTTGGTAATACCATAGAAACAAAAATGTTTCGACAAAAATACGAACACAAACAAAAGATACTTGGACAGAACACTTCCCCAGCAAGGATAAACCGAAGAGCACTCGAAGAAAACCAACCAATGTCAAAGATCTAAGCGGTCTGGATTTCGGAGTAATTTAAATAAATCTACTCTGGAGATGATAAGTGAAATCCAAGCTAGTACTGCGCGACATTCATCTGTAGAAAGTCCCCTCGATTACTAACCTCGAGTAGATCCTCCAGGCAGGCACTTCCCCAAACACAATTCCGCAACCCAAACCAAAAAAATGCTATGTCCAAGGTGGAAAACAAAAAACCAAAAAAAAAGGAAGAGAAAGAGAGAGAGACAGGTAACCCAAATGTTCCACAATCAAGAGGGAGTGAAATATAGTTTCCACCAAACTGAAAACCATAGAAATGGCACTAGGAAATCAATTAAACTTAGTAGGTACTCGTATGGCCAAGTTGTCAGCAGTACCCTCGGACTTGCCCACTAGGAAACTGAGATTGCACAGTAGTGTCACCCAACTATTCCTCAGTACATCAGAAATGTCTGTAGCCAAATAAACATCCCCAATACGAATCCTTCCACGCTAGCAGTTTGTGACTACAAGTCCGGAAGCTACTGACACCATCGTCATCCGGCCTAATTCACAAGAGAAAAACAAAACGTCCTAGGTACGTTATATAATGAGTATTACCACCCATAAAACACTCAAACGAAGGTATAAAAAAAACAAAGGTAAGATAGCTAGATCTAAATCAACTAACTTAATGAAATATGCTCGTAAAACAAAAATATTGCGCTGGTGACAAGAAATCCTATAACAACTATAAACTCCATTATTCAACGTGTATGCCATTCTATAGTCACATCTGCAATAATACTTACAAATTCACACCACTAAGCTCAGTTTGAAATAGTCTAAGGTAAGGTAAGATAAAAAATAAGTAGAAGGTGTAAGGTAAAGGTAAGATAAAAAATACTAAAGGTAAGATAATCACTGTACTTTCAAGTAAAAAGGTAAGTTAAAGGTAAGATAAAATAATATAACAGCTTAAATCGCTTGTTACTGAATAACTAACTACACTTTGTAGAGTCAAATCAGCAAAATAATAAAAGAAAATTTCTTTTATAAGGTAAGATACAAAAAAAAATAAAGAAAAAGATAAGATAAATTTTACTTTCAGATAATTAAAAAACTTTTAAGTTTTCAAATGGAAAAGAGAATTCACTCTTTTAGCAACACTAGAAGTAAAATACAGATAACTCATAATACAGATAGTAAAGATAAAGTTACAGATAAAAATGTAAATATCCTAGAGATATTTTGCTAGAAGTAAGAGGTAAATTTTTTCGAAGGTAAGGTAAGTATAAAACAGTTAATTAAGTGTAACAAAAAACATGCTAAAGAGAAATTAGAAAATTTAGGTAATTAAAATATAGGTAAAGCTTAAGAAAAGATAAATTGAAATAAGAAAATGAAAATATTAATCTTGTTCATCTGACGAATCGTCAAGATCGTGATAAGGTAATAAGTCTTTGACATGCCATTTCCCGGCTTTAGAACCATCTGTATTTTTTAACTCGTAAACTAAATGAGAGAGCTTTTTGCAAACTATTGACAAAATATACTTAGGACTGAGCTTAGCTGCAAACTTGTCGGCGGCATTAGATAAAACCTTATTAACACGCCACACTTTATCACCTACGTTGAAAGAAACATCCCGTTTCCGGAGATTGTAAGATTTTAAATTTCTTTCATATGCAGAATGCAACTTGTTACGTATCTCAACGAATAACTTTCTAAACTCTGTCAAATTCTCAGCATAAGTATTTCTATCACCAGGCAATATTTCTACAGATTGGTCGTTAATACTAAAATCGTAATATTCGCCAGATATAGGAACATGTCTACCGAACATCAAATAAGTTGGCGGAAAACCTGTCACTTCATGAACTGCAGTATTAATAGCTTGTCTAATCTGAGGTATGTGTAAATCCCAATCTTCATGTTTATCAATATAACATCTGATAGCAGTAGTTATGGTTTTATTATTCCTTTCGACAAAATTACATTGTGGTGAATAATAGGGAGTAAACCACTGTTTAACTTTATATTTTTCACAAAGACCTTTAAGATTATTACTAGCAAAATTTGGAGCGTTATCAGTTATTAATATTTGAGGAACACCAAATATCAGAAATATGTTGTTTTCAATAGTATCTACAATATTATTTGATTTAGAATGCTTCAAAGGAAATATGTAAGTGTATTTAGAAAACCAATCAGCTGCTACTAGCAACCATTTATTACCTTTTTTAGAACGCGGAAACGGACCGACAAAATCTAAAGAAAGAATCTGACCAGGTAAATCAACAATTTTTTCTTTACCCATGGTACCGATTTTAGGCAAATTTGAACATTTTTGCGCACCGCAAACTAAACATTTTCTAATAAATTTCAAAATATCTGATCTCATATTTGGCCAATAATACGTTTCTTGTACTCGATACAAAGTTTTACGGAAACCAAAATGTGCACTAGTTGGAGGTATATGACAAGAATCAATAACTTTGTTACGTTGACATTTAGGCACTAAAATTTTCCATTCTCTTTTGTTAAAAATATGAGATTTATTTGATGAAATGAATTTATATACTTTTTCGTTTTTTACGCGCCATTGTGGATATTTATCCGGCTCGTTCTGAATTTTATCACGTAATGAAATGTACCATGGATCAAGAGAACTGTTATCTGTAGATAATAAAGATAATTTAGCCTCAGGTAGATTGATATGGAGGAAAGAATAAGGAACTCACGACTTAACGCATCTGGAACTAAATGCATAGAACCTTTTCTATGTTGCAAATCAAAAGTATGCTGACGCAACCCTAAAGTAACCATCGGCTTCAGAGCTTACCGGAAGGAGTTTTTAAGTTATTAAGCCAAAGCAGACTATAATGATCGGTAATGACTGTGAAAGGAGTACCTCAATCCAAGGTCTAAACTTTTCTATGCAGAATATAACTGCCAAACACTCACGTTCAGTTACCGAATAATTTCTTTCTGCTTTA